TGTTTGTTACTAAGTTCCCCCCTTTGCCGACTTCTTGATAGTGCTTATGCCATAATGATGCCAGGATTTCTTTTCAGTTTCTCCACCTAGGTTGATTATTAAAATAGCATGCTTAGTTTTATTTCTTCTTTTCCCAAAGTGGTAAGTTAACATTTTATTCATTGGTGTTTTAACTTGTCACTAGGTTTCTCCTTTTATTTCATGTAACAAGCCCTGCATAGAATGCAGGAGACTTGCTCAACTCAGATGTAGTCATTTCTCAGAAGAAATTTTCATCCTTAAAGTGTATGCACACCAGTTGAGGCCTGAGAGTCAAGAAGGGCAGCAGAGTTGCATGTCATTTCTATCAGAACCTAAGACATGCAGGTAAACTGATCCTAGATGCCTATGGTTCAAGCTCCTTTGCCTAGCATGCTTAGTTTTTCATGATAAGTGACTGGCTACAGTTACTGTTTTTCTTAGTTATCTTTCTCCCTCCATTTCTTCCTCAATTCACCCTGATTTGAGAATTAGGTACATCAGTAACTGTAACTCAGACAATGGAAAAGTCTACTATGGAACGTGGCTCTATATACTTGATTTATTTTAATAGAATGGAAAAAGACAAATTTTCTTCCTTATTGCCAACTTAAAGATAAGACAGATATTTGATGGCTATCACCTTTTTAAAACAAACAAACAAATAAACAAACAAACAAACAAACACTGTCCTCCTGTTGTTCATCGATTTGCTCGAGCGGGTTCAGTAATGTCTCCATTGTGAGACTTGTTGTTACTGTGTTTGACATATCGAATATGTCATGGGTAGCTTGCCAGGCTTTGCCATGTGGGCGAGATACTCTTGGTACCTTACCGGACTCTCCGAGAGGGGCGGAGGAATCGAACCCAGCTTGGCCAGGCTGACTGCGTGCAAGGCAAATGCCCTTCCGCTGTGCTATCGCTCCAGTCACAGCATTGGTGGTTCAGTGGTAGAATTCTCGCCTGCCACCTTTTTTTTTTATTACAAAATTTTTTAATAGTGAGACATCATGTGGTACAGTTGCAGACTTACACATTTTTGTGCTTGGGTTTCACTTATACAATGATCAAACACCCATCCCTCCACCAGTGCCCATTTCCCACCACCACGGATCCCAGTATCCCTCCCACCCCCCATCCCCCCATCCCACCCTGTCTCTGTGGCAGGGCATTCTCCTCTGTTCTCTCTCTCCTTTTGGGGCCTTCCACCTTTTTAATATTAAAGAAAAATAATAAGTTTTATATTAAAACTTCTTAAAGTGCAGGGTAATATATCTCTGTGATTTTAGTTATAGTTAACTATAAATAAAAACAAAAAACGTATTTTCAGTAAAGGGCTTATTAATGTTAGCATCTTATGGTGCTGATGTAATCCCTTAAATATTTTTTGTGTTTATTTTTCAATTTTTCTACCATATGTATAGCACAGCGGTAGGGTGTTTGCCTTGTGTGTGGCTGGCCTGGCCGAGCCGGGTTCGATTCCTCTGCCACTCTAAGAGAGCCCAGCAAGCTACCGAGAGTATCTCGCCAGCATGGCAAAGTCTGACAAGCTACCTGTGACATATTCAATATGCCAAACACAGTAACAAGTCTCACAATGGAGACGTTACTGGGCCCGCTCAAGCAAATCGATGAACAACGGGAGGGCAGTGCTATGTATTTTTTCTAAATGATTATTGTGATTTAAAAATTAATACTCATTTACTTAAAAATAAAATAACAATTATTCTAAAGAAGAAAACAGAAATGACCTCCAATCTTCTTTTATTTGGTTTCGGATTTGGAGCCACACATGGAGTTGCTCAGGGCTTACTTCTAGCTTTGTGCTAAAGGATCACTCATGGCAGTGCTGGAGGAACCAAATGTGGTGCCAGGGATCAAACCTGGGTCAGCCATGTGCAAGGCAAGCACCCTACCCTCTGCACTACTGCTCCAGCCGCCTCTAATCTTCTTTTGCTTATTAGGAGACTGCTCTTCCTGACACACCTGCCCCTGACAATCAATGAATTTTATATTTGGAGCAAACAAAGTCACCATAAAGAATAAAAAAGCAAAGGTTTTTCCTATGATCTGGATCTACAAATAATAAAACCCCAATGCGTGTCATTTACTTCTAGCATATATATATCCAGGTTCTGTCTAAGCACCACTGCATTCTCCTCTTGGGGGGAGACTAGAGTGGGACAACCACTCATACTTCAAGAAAAAGGATGGAATACTGGAAATACGTTTTCCCACAAATTTTGAATAGAAATTATAAATCACCTCTTGCTAACTTAGTCTGTTTTTTCTGTAAAAAGATCTTTTTCATTCGACCTTCAGCATAGCTGTGCAAGAAATATTTACAAAATAAATGTCTTCTTCTGACCCAAATTTCTTCCTGTTTTATTCTAACCTTTGTATATAAATAAATTTCATTTCTTTAAATTGTAGGTTAAATAACATAATTGTACATCTTTGATTTTTTTGTTTTACAGTATGTGGTCTAATCTATTATTATGCAGGAGGTAATTTATTATTAAAACATCTCATTTGGAGAAGATACATAGCAATATGGATTCGAGGCTTTTGTTTCATTTGCAAAAGGCTGATCATATTACTGTATCATGTACAGGAAACACCACAGACTTAATTTGCCTTTTGCTTTTCCTTTTAGAGAAAATGGAAATCTAAGAAGTCAACAAGGAAATCAGAACTTTGGAGGAGATATTAATCTTGGATATTTTCTATATATTTAAAATCATAGCAATCATTGCTGTGTGAGCCCCTTTTAAAATTTAACTTACAAGATAGGATACATATCTCTCTTGATGTAAAAATCACAGCTTATATACAAGATAAGATATAATTAAACAAAAATTCTTGACTTCTGACCTCAAATCAGTGTACAGGATACACCATGCATAGGATATGCCAAAACCTTTTTTTACTAGCTCAGCTATTTCTAATTATATCAGCATATTGAGTGTTATTTGACGGCTGATGCATTTTTAAAATAGTTTTACATGCTACCTGAGGGGGCTTGGGGATAGGACAAAGAGGGGCCAATGACTGGTGGAGGGAAGCATTCAACAGAGAGGAGGAGGTGGTGTTGGAAGGTGGTAAAGTATTATATATGAAGCCCTAGCAGCAGCAGTACTGTGAATCACACAGCAATATATATATATATATATATATATATATATATATATACAAGTTTTTACACACATGTATATATACATGGAGCATATATACATGGTATATATACATGGAGCATATATACAAGGGCTGGAGCAATAGCACAGCGGTAGGGCGTTTGCCTTGAACACAGCCAACATGGCTGGCTCGAGTTCGATTCCTCCGCTCCTCTCGGAGAGCCCGGCAAGCTACCGAGAGTATCTCGCCCGCACGGCAGAGCCTGGCAAGCTACCCGTGATGTACTTGATATGCCAAACACAGTAACAACAAGTCTCATGATGGAGACGTTACTGGGCCCGCTCGAGCAAATCGATGAACAAAAGGTGGACCGTGACTGTATATATACATATATGTTTTAAAATGTGTCTTATAAAAGCAGGGGGAGAAGAAAATGGGGGGCAGGGGCATCAGTGGAGGGAAGTGGACAGTGATGACAGAATCAGTGTTATAACACTGTATTCATGAAACCTGATAATGAATAACTTTGTAATTTCACAGTGACTAAATGAAAAATAAAAAATTAAAGTTGTTTTACCTAACCCCATCAAAAAATGGGGTGATGAAATAAACAGAAACTTTCCCAAAGAAGAAATCCGAATGGCAAAAAGGCACACGAGAAAATGCTCTATCTACATCACAATCATCAGGGAGATGCAGATCAAAACAACAATGAGATATCATTTCACACCACAGAGACTGGCCCACATCCAAAAGAAAAAAAGCAACCAGTGTTGGCGTGGATGTGGCGAGAAAGGGACTCTCCTTCACTGCTGGTGGGAATGCCGACTGGTTCAGCCTTTTTTGGAAAACAGTATGGACGATTCTCAAAAAATTAGAAATTGAGCTCCCATTTGACCCAGCAATACCACCCCTAGGTATATATACCGAAGAGGCAAAAAAGTACAGTCAAAATGACATCTGCACTTCTATATTCATTCCTGTGCTATTCACAATAGCCAAAATCTCAAAAAAATACCCCAAGTGCCCGAGAACAGATGACTGGTTTAAGGAAACTTTGGTACATCTACACAGTGGAGTACTATGCAGCTGTTAGAAAAGATAAAGTCATGAAATTTACATACAAGTGGTACTACGTGGAAAGTATCATGCTAAGCAAAATGAATCAGAAAGAGAGGGACAGACATAGAAAGATTGCATTCATTTGGGGAATATAAAGTAACAAATTGGGAGACTAATACCCAAGAATAGCCGAGATAAGTACCAGGAGGTTCACTCCATGGCTTGGAGGCCAGCTGCACATGCTGAGGGAGAAGGCAGCTTAGATAGAGAGGGCAACACCAAGTAAAATGTATTGGGGTGATCCTCCCAGGATGAGAGATGCATGCTGAAAACAGACTATAGACCGAATGTGATTGCCACTCAATGCCTCTTTTGCAAATAACAGCACCCAAAAGGAGAGAGAGAACAAAAGGGAATGCCCTGCCCCTGGGATGGGGTGGGATGGAGTGGGAAGGGGGTGGGAAGGATGCTGGGAGCACTGGAGGTGGGGAATGGGTACTGGTGGAGGGATGAATACTCAATCATTGTATAACTGAAACCCAAGCACAAAAATTTGTAAGTCTACAACTGTACCTCATGGTGTTTCACTAATAAAAATTAAAAAAAAATTAAAGTTGTTTCAAATTAAACACCTACTAATGACTAGGTTCAATAAAGATGCTGCTTGTTTTTGAATATATCACATTTTCTTCTCATGGGTTTGTCCAGTACAATTTATGGAAATGCTCATAACTTTAAGCTCTCACTGAGTTTATTCTAAGGCAAATGAGAAAGTGAGCAATGCATTCTACGTTAGACCGTGCAGAAACGTTTATTGGGGTGAGAATGTTACATGTTTCGAGGCAGTGGTTAATATATACACATTTCTTATTTTAATAAGGTGAATACAATTTTTTATGCTATCCATGAACAATTTTCCCACTTCCCAGTAGTAATACACAGTATAACATTCTCCTACAGGTCACTATTTCCTGGCAAAGAATGCAGAGGCGGTTGTTTCCTGAAGGGGCAGGCTATCTCAGAAATAAGTAAGGGGATGTCCTGTACAGAATGGTTCCGAAGGAAGGCCATCTGAGCGATTGTTATTTCAAATGTCTGTTTTTTCTTAAGTTCAAATGTGTTAAAGTCCAGGAATAACCCTAGTTAATACAAAGTTAAAAATACTTTTGATCTTATTTAACCAAAATTTATTTGTACAAAGTACATGTCTTTGTATCATGGTCAAGGATGATGTGTTTACAGTGTTTTGAGGAGTAAGGATATATACATAAAAGATAAATAGCTCCATCCACCTCCCCCCCATTTTCCTCTCCATGTTAAATCCTGCTGAGGTTGCTGAAAGGTTGCCTGTAGGACAACCTGTGTTGTCACTCTGCTGCTCATCTACTCTCTCTCCACCTCTTAGGGTGGAGGTAGGTTAGGTCAACAGGGAAGAGGGTGATTGGGGTTCCTCAAGAGGACAACTACTTTTATTCTATGATACTTGGAAATTCTTTTTGAAAGCTCTGTAGACTATGTGGATAGATCAAACTAAAATAAAAGATAATACATTGAACCTCCATCTTTTGAAGAACACCTCCAACATGGAGCTCTAGACAGTCATTTAATTTTTAACATAAAGATGTGACCTAAAATGTGGTAAGAGTAGAGATAACTCCAGGTATGTCCCTAGTGTATTGGTATAGTTTTCAAAACATGTCAGCTCACCAGGAAGAATGTGTAATTGCTCAGAGTTCAGCAAGAGAAGCTTAGAAGGGCCTGGGATAGGATAGACCAGGTGAAAATAAAGTCTCTCCACTGCAGCCTGAGGGAAGGAACACATTGGAAGGCCGAAGGCAGATCTGGCCAATGGCTCTGGGTCCAGCTGCCTAGTTAGTTATCAGGGCACTGACGATCTCCAGAGCCATAATGGAATCTTCTGAACACATTAACTGCACAGGTAAGGTTTAAACATATTAAAAACCAAACCAAATCAAACTTATTCCAGAGTCAGGAGTCTAGATTCACAAGTGATAACTCCTTCTTGCATGTTTTTCGTTAGGTACCACTTCCGTGAGATGTGACAATGTGTGTAATGTGCTGGTGGTAAGTTGAATTGAATTCACCACCAGAGAGGCAAAATCATCCATACTTATTGGTTAAGAACTGGCATGCCCCTGGGTGCCAGACATCATTGGGAATAATGGGGGCTGGGGCTTACTAACATGCCTTGATCCAGGTTTCTTTCTGGTTGTTACTTGGAATTTCTACATTCAAGTTAAAGCTTAATATAAGAATAAATGATACAGACTTGTCAGATCACCTTAAATCTTAACTGTTTAACTTTTTTTTAACTCTTAACTCTTTACCTGTTCTTTGGGGGTGCATGTCCCATGGTGATTGGTCACTCCTGGCGATGGTGAGGGAATCAGACCAAGCCAAGCACCCGGATGCTAGTGCTTTATCCCTCCAGCTTCTTTATTCTACATTTATAGGGTTGCAAGCAGTGCGTACAGGGGGAAAAGGAAGTGAACAGTCTTTTGTAATGTAATGTACTTTGATTTTCTCTTACTGCAGAGCTAATATGCAGCAGCATTTCAGCATTCTGGCCAGGAGTCTGATTTAGGTAGGTTCAGTCTTACTTGAAGGATTTGTCTGCTGAATTCATTCTGAAGTCATTTTCATACCAAAACACCTGATTTTGTAGTTAGATGGCATATTTTGGTTAAAAAATAACATCTGTTTGGGCTGGAGTGATGGTACAGTGAATAGGATCTTGGACGTGTCCAACTGTGTTCGATCCCCAGCACCCCATATGATTCCCTAAGCCCTGCTAGGAGTAATCCCTGAGCAGAGAACCAGGAGTAAGTCCTGAGCATCGGCAGGTATTGCCCCCCGACTAAAACCAAACATCAGTTGGAGGTTTAAGCTCATTTTCACATTGTTTCGACTATGATTTTCATGGCTGAGGGTGGATTTGGAGACTGCTGATGGAGACCTGGAGGGTTGAACTCTATTGGGTCCACCTGTCTCCCTAGATACAATTTCTATGCAGATCCTATTAGCGTTCACACATCTCTTCAAGATATTCCAGCTCTGAAGCACACTGCAAATGGTCTCTGTTGCATTCTACCATGCCAACCCTTCAGACAAGCATTGCATAAATGATCAATGCATCGAAGCCTGCAGTCACAGAAATAAAAGAACTTGTCTTCAATAGTTTTCTCCAGTAGCCTTCCTGAAAGCCACCCTTGAAGGGGAAGACCAATGGAGGGAGATAAAAGAAGGGTTAAAAATAAAATAAATTGAGAGCATAGGATTCTATATTTTAAAACATGATGCCAGAGGCTTATTTATTTGATTGAGCATGTGACAGTACTTGACACATGAACCATGCTCTGGACCAAGGTTTTCCCTAGTTTTTGTGTTATGCAAAGCAAAACCATCAAATCACATAGAGTAGATAATGTATTAATAAATGCATTTTGTTCTGCCAGAAAGTGAACTCCATATTAGCTGTTGGGATGTTATTTACCCAGGCAAGCTATGGTGATGGTCCTTCAGACTTTGTGTAAAGAGAATATGGGCAGGTCTTTCTACGGCATGTGATTTTCAATGTACTACCCTTTATGTATTTCTTGATTTCAACTTCTCTCCTCTTCAAGCTTTCACATTTCATTAATATTAAATAATATTACAATTTTAGAAATAAAAAATTAGGGAAATATGTAGCATTATGTCTGTTGGATTTGGTATCACCATTTCCAGCAGAATTTGAAAACTGATTTTATTGTGCGCTTTATGTATGTGTAAAGAGAAACAATACATTCTATTTATTGATTATATTACCTCACTGATGTGTCAAAATCAACTCTTACTTGTTTATGGGAGTAGACATAAATTTTTAGGAATTTTTCAAATTGGTTAGGTGGCTTTGTAGTTAGAAAATAAACATAACAAAAGAATAGGTGAATTGGCAATTGATAGATTTTTTTTCCTTTTAAAGAAAAAGCAGGTTGAAGAGAATAGCTTTTGAACTTGAAGGGAGTGATTCCTTGGAAATTTCACTGGAAATTTCTGGGCAAAGACAAATTAGCAGAAGGACACCAAATCTCTGGAAATATTTAGACTTTTCTTGCTACCAATGACCATAGCACTGCCCAGGCACTTGGCTATGACCATCAGCATGGTAGATGTGGACATGGAGAACCAGAACATAGGCTGACTTGGAGTCCACATATAATTTCTTGGAAACTGAATTTAAAACTAAAAGCTAATGGCACTTCCTTTCTCCACTGATTTGTTGTTTGGTTGTTTTTAGACAGAAGAACCCAGGACTTTCTGGAAATAACAGGTGTAGGTCTTGTGATGGTAAGTTGGCAAAGGGGTGGAGTTTTTGCAGATGTATCAGCAAATTTTACAGCAGTAGTTTACACATGCAGTGACTATACATTCATTCCTTGACATTTTCCTCTGAAATGAAGCAACCTAGGACCTTATGTTATACTCAAGTCCAAGCCCATAGCGGTTACTTCAAGAACAAAGAAACACGTACAAAGTTGTGACATTTTCCTACTGGTGTGAAGTTTAAAACCTGAAGTTCTTTAAAATACATTTCTGGAGTTTTATTTAAATATTAACATGCCCACTCAAAAAAGTAGCGACCTCTTGATAAAAATACAATATTGAAATGGAATACTGCTTTTTTCTTCATAAAAATAGGAAATGCATTTAAGAAGTTAAATATCTTAAAAACAAAATACGAAAACCCACCACACTCTCAGTTTGAGGGTTTGAATGAACCATGTACCAAAGAGCTGAAAAAGCTCCTACTTTGGTTTGCAGCCTGGGATCCCTAATGCTTAAAGGCTTCTCAGAGAAGATTTCAGCATTTCAGTAGCATTGGTCTCACTTCCAGTCAGAAACCACTTTAGCTACCCTCCAGACAACATGATCTTTGATAAAAAAAAAAATCAGTGTTATGTCACACAAAACTTGTTTTTTCAATATAAAAGCTTTTACTTTTACAGCTCCATATCAAAACAAAGTGTGCTCTATACAAGCTTAAATTAATCCATTTAGTTCATTTGCTTTTACAAAGTCTGTCTTGGTTTTCCATCCTAGATAGAATTTCAGCACAATTTGCTCTATTTTCCAAATATCTTAGGAAGAAAACTTTCAAAGTGTGGAACCCGACACAAAGATGCTGAATATTCCCTCTGTTATTCAATTCTACTTTTAAAGTTCATACTATATATAGACTCTACCATGGGAAATTTTTCTCATTTGAATCGGGAGACATGATCTTTTTTCAGGTAACTTCTTTCTTGTCATTTACAAATGCTGATAGTCGTGTTGTATAGGAATATCCATCAGGAATCATGGGGGAAATAATCTTAATTTATATTGCTTTGAAAAGAAATGTTTCAGTAATTATAAAAATCTTTTTTATGTATTCCTTAAATATTTTGGTGATTTATATATATAAACATATTTATATAGGTTGTACTTCATCTTCAAAACACTTTGTAATTTTGCTTACTCTACAAAAATGAGTAATTACTTAAAAATATTTTCATCATTTAATAAAATATATCTTTATGGTATTGTTTTTGCATTATCTTTGATCTGTAATTTTCCAAGTAATTAATCCCTGATGGATTACAGAAAGTTATGTGACTATGTCTTTAATTATATATAAAAATTTCTTGTCACATATTTGAGGCAAACCTGAGGAAAAATCATTGAATTGGTGCTAATTTTTTATCTTGTAAAATACTTTATTTCTCCATTTTCTTCTTTAGCGGTCTTTTGAAGAATCCAATCTGTTGAGAAAATACCAGACATACACAATTACTTATATAAATGTATGTAATAAATACTAATTTCCTTGGAAATATGTAATTTTGTAATATTTTGACAATCCAGGAAGTTATATTGATCACAAATAATTGACCTACACAAAGGTATATCTTATTGACATTTATCAGTTTGCTGTTACATTTAAACATTTTCATTGGTTAAGTTGATCTAGAGGTCAAAATTGCTCCAGGTGATAAACTTACTTGAAGGCGCCTGGAAAATTTATTGAGGTCATGAGAACTTTAGTAACTTGGCACAATCTCTACTTTGTTACCATCTTTTAAAATTTTTTAAACAGGAATGTCCAGAGAAATTGTCATCAAATAACTTATGATCACCAACTGAGGTTATTAGAGCTGATGGAGAATCTGGTAGGATTTCCACAGTTAAGGAGGGAATAATTTTAAATGTGAGCATCTATCTATGCAGACTTTATATGCTGAGCCTCTTAAAAACATCCTTGTACCATTTGGACATGAAAGTAAAGTCACTAAGAATACAAAGCTTTGAAAAAGAAAAATATAAAATTGCACTTAGGTTATTAGTCCTTATACTTTGTGATTTGAAACATCATAAAAATTTAGAGTTGCTTTATATATTTATTTCCTAATAAAATATATTTCTAATTAAAAAATAATAATAATAAAAATACGTGTATGAGTTGGAAGACAAGCTTTGTAATAATCTAATAAAAAATTTTAAAAGGGATTTAACAGTCATAGAGAAGAGACTTTTTTTAAAGTTTGAGAGTAGATTTGTTTAAGGAAAAGAATAAATCAAGTCTTTGAATATGGAATGCTTTGAGAAAGTTCAAATTAAGGATCATGATGTGATGGTTAATTATGCAAGGGAATCCTCTTTACATATGTTTAAAATAACTATTAAACAATTGAGGGCTGAGAGGCTAAGAGATTAAAAAGATGCCATCTTAATTAGAGACATTTGTCACAGAACTTATGCCATGCCAGAATCTAGGAGAATCAGGAATCAGGAGATGATGTGGACAAAGTGACAACAGAACAAATTAACATTAGGGGAAAAAAATGTATTTGCCTTCCTTAGAATGCCAGTGCTGCACATTCCCGACACTTTTCATTGGGCAAGCTAAAAAATTCTGGATTCATGAATGATTGGGCCCCTGACTCAGTCCCACCTGTGCTGAGTGGAGAGCACATCACCTTTCAAAGCAGCAGTGGCTTATGATGAAACATTGACTTTCGCACCTGCCGGTACGTAAAGTTCTATCCTTCCTCTCTCAAGTGCATTTTTGCTTCTTTTCACTTTTCCTTTGTTTCCACACATTAAATGCACTCTTTTAAAATATAGCTTGCATTATTTAAAGTTTTCCACCTAACCCATTTTATGAATCATTGGATTTTTAGTGGAAGCTGGGGTGTGCAGAATGGATCCAAACTAAAAAGGGCCAATAGAAACCAGAATTCAAAAAAATAGTTTTCTTCTTCAGCACCCAAACGTCTTGTTTTGTTCTGGGTTTTGGGCCATACCTGGCAGTGCTCACGGTTTACTCCTGACTCTGCTCTCAGGGATTTCTCCTGGCCGTGCTCAAGGTACCATATAGAGTAGTGGTACCCAGGTTGACCTCATGAAAGACAAGTCTTCTCCCTGTACTCTTTATAGTTCCAGACTCACTCAGACTTTCTTGTTTCAGTCACTTTTTAAATTTTCCTTCTTACTGGCCTAATGATGCCTTTTCTAATTTTATTTTGGGGTCACTTTCAGCACTGCATAGGGGATCATATGGTCCCAGGACTGAACCCAGGCCTTTGGCACATGGGAAGCATGTGCTCAGGCATTGAGCTGAGGTCCTTTAATGAGCCTCCTTATGATCATTTAGTTCGAATCTTTATAGCAGGATATATAAGTAAATAGTCTCTGGAAAAATAGGCTGGAAAAAATGTTGAATAAGGTTTGACTAATGCTTGAAAGATTAAGAATGGGGGTGCTATTCACCATCTTAAGCCCCAAGTGAGATCCTGTGAGATTAAGAGGTGTGAATATTCCGCTTTCTTGGGCTACATTTTAAAAAAAATTTTAATGGAAAACCTCTAGTACATCTACACAATGGAATACTATGCAGCTGTTAGAAAAGATGAGATTATGAAATTTGCATATAAGTGGATCGACATGAAGAGTATCATGCTAAGTGAAATGAGTCAGAAAGAGAGGGACAGACATAGAATGACTGCACTCATTTGTGGAATATAAAGTAACATAATGGGAGACTAACACCCAAGGATAGTAGGAATAAGGGCCAGGAGGATTCTCTGGCCCCTTTGTGCAGGATCTCCTTCCACTGATTACAAGTCCCACTGAGCTTTGCTCTTCTTTGTGTATGACAGCCCATTTCAACACCACATTCTCAAGCTCTTTAAATGGGTGTCCCCCTACAAGGTCTCTCTCTTCCAGGTGGACTATCTTAAGAAGCTCCTGAGATTTGTTTGCAAGCTTTGATTTTTGTCAAAGATACTGCACGATAAAGAGAAAAAGACCATTTTTTAAAATAAAATCACTGCTCTATGAGGAAACTCGGACTTGTGCCTTGCATGGAGCCTGGGAATTCCAGTATCCTTTCAGAGTTCTGGAACTCCTGAGGTCTCTGCTCCATATCTAAGTAGCATCAGAAGACGTCTGGAGTTGAGAGCAGTGCTGAATCCACTGCAAGCAGAATGCACGGCTCTAAGAGGTCCTAATATAATAGACCTGAATAGTATATAAATATACTATTTGAAATAACAGACCTGTTCAATGTCAGGACCCAACGTGAGACTTTCATTACAAAGGAAAAGATTTGTATTTATTTCAGAATTCATGGCCCTCTTGAAACAATGCAAGAATGGGAATTCTTGGAGCTCCTGACAAAAGAGCCCTCCCTATTGCTTGCCATGATGGGATAATATGGGATAGGAACAATCTTTGTAGATTTAGCACTGCTTTAAAGCAATCCCTTACCAGATGGTAATTTTGGGATAGATAAATAGATGAATAAAGCATCTCTTTGCTTCAGGATTCTTCCCTGTAAAGTTACTGAGTTGAAAAAATTTTAACAATATGGTGAAATAAGAATGATAACAAAGTGACAACTTTGAGTTGTGATAATTGTGATAATCGTGCTGATATGAAATGAAATGGGCTGTATTCAATCTGATAAACTATGTGATCTTGATAAAGATAACTTTTCTATGACTCAGTTACCTCTTTTAAAATGAAGTTCATAATAATCTACTCCCTAAGGTTAGTATTCAAATAGAAAGTTGCTATTCAAATAGAAAAGCTAAAACAGTTACTAGCATATAACTGGCCCCAAACAGGTGCCAGTTTCCATTCATCTATCAAAAATTTCACTTCTGATTGCATGATTTTCCACCCAATGGCTGAAGTAACTGTACCTACAGGTCAGGATTGTCCAAAGGTTGCTAAACTACCTTCATTTGGATATAGATGTAAAACATAAGGATATATTAACAAAACACTTCCTAAAGGAAAGAATATGTCTATTTTTACAACTTTTGTTTCAAGACTGGTATCAGAAAAACTGATACTAAAAACACATTTGTTCTAAACAGAAAATGTCTACATATATTTTCTGTTTTCCTTTTCTCTTGTTAGTGATCTATAACTGAACGGAAAAGAACACTGCTCAGACTAGAAGATCATAAATAAAGGAATCAACGGCAACACATTCTTTCTGAGGTAAATGGGCATATACTTTATTTCAAACCCAGCTTAAACCGCTGAAACCACGTCTTGGGTACCACAATGTGGCCAAGTCAGGTACTACAGTTCTGAGACTAAACTAGGAGAAAAAAGCTTCAAGTTGAAGAGAATAAATAATTTTGCCTTGGGAAAGGATTTTGTTGGAGAAAGCTAGGGGTTCTATTTACTGAACTCAATGTTCCTGACCTATATCTAAGGCATAAAATTTTCCATCTTCTTCTCCAAGAGAAATACTCTTCCCTCAACAAAAAGGGAAGTTGGTCATTATAAGCGATAAAGAAATGGGAGTGGCAAATAACTCAGTGAGAGAGAAATTGGTTAGTTAGTTAAATACTTAAATTATTGAAATATTTGGATAAAAGATAATTTTGTTGTAAAGGAACTATAAAAATGTATATGTAACCACAATTTGTATTTTAGCATAGTTTAATAAGAGGCTGAAAGCAAAAGTGGTCTTATAGTAATCATCCAACCCCATCAAAAAGTGGGGCAACAAAATGAACAGAGACTTTCTCAAAGAAGAAATCCGAATGGCTAAAAGGCACATGAGAAAATGCTCTACATCATTAATCATCAGGGAGATGCAGATCAAAACAACAATGAGATATCATTTCACATCACAGAGACTGGCCCACATTCAAAAGAACAAAAGCAACCTGTGTTGGCGTGGATGTGGCAAGAAAGGGACCCTCCTTCACTGCTGGTGGGAATACCGACTGGATCAACCCTTTTGGAAAACAGTATGGACGACTCTAAAAAAATTAGAAATTGAGCTCCCATTTGACCCAGCAAAACCACGCCTGGGAATATACCCTGGAGAGGCTAAAAAGTATAGTCGAAGTGACATCTGCACTTGTTTGTTCATTGAAGCACTGTTTACAATAGCTAGAATATGGAAAAAACCTGAGTGCCCGAGAACAGATGACTGGTTAAAGAAACTTTGGTACATCTACACAATGGAGTACTATGTAGCAGTTAGAAAAAATGAAGTCATGAAATTTACATAGAAGTGGTACTACATGGAAAATATGCTAAGCGAAATGAGTCAGAAAGAGGGACAGACATAGAAAGATTGCATTCATCTGGGTAACATAAAGTAAAGTAAGTAAAGTAAGGCCCTCCCGTTGATCGTCGATTTGCTCGAGCGGGCCCAGTAGCGTCTCCATTGGAGACTTTGTTGTTACTGTGTCTGGCATATCGAATACTCTCGGTAGCTTGCCGGGCTCTCCGAGAGGGGCGGAGGAATCGAACTCGGGTCGGCCATGTTGGCTGCGTGCAAGGCAGATGCCCTACCCCCTGTGCTATCTCTCCAGCCCTGGGGGGGTAACATAAAGTAACAAAATAAGAGACTAACAACCAAGAACAGCTGTGATAAATACCAGGTTGTTCACTCCATGGCTTAGAGGCCAGCTCCACACTCTAGGGGTAAAGGCAGCTCAGATAGAGAAGGGAGCACCAAACAAAGGGTGCTGGGAAGATCTGCCCAGGATGGGAGATGCCTGCTGAAAGTAATCTATGGACATGATTGCCACCCAATGTCTCTTCTGCAGACCACAGCACCCAAAAGGAGAGATAGAACAAAAGGGAGTGCCCTGCCACAAAGGCAGGGTGGGATGGGGGATGGGGGGTGGGTGGGAGGGATACTAGGATTGGTGGGGGTGGAGAATGGGCACTGGTGGTGGGTTGGGTACTCGATCATTGTATAACTGAAACCCAAGCACAACAACTTGTAAGTCTACAACTGTACCTCATGGTGTTTCACTAATAAAACAAAAAAAATTACCACTTGAAAAAAAAGTGGTCTTATAGAAATGTCAGTTTGATGTTTAACTGGAAAACCACTAAAATTTCTCATGAGATTTTATTCTATATTAATTTTAACTCACATTACCTTATCTCACTTCTTCTAATTTAGAATTTGACACAGCTCAGAATTTTAATCATCTTGCATAACTCAGATTAAGCAAAATGTCTTTGTAAATATGCAGATTTGCCTAGTGGAAATAGATGACTACTCAGTTTTACAGAGGGTTCTAAAATATGTCTGTGAAATGACAAGATGTCATTTTTCAATGAATTCACAATCCCTTATTCATCACTCAGTGACATAACTATTGCATAAATGTGGAATTGGTGTTAATGCATTAAACAAGTATTTGATTTTTTTAAGAAACAGAGATATGATTAAGGCAAATCTATCTTAGACAAGATTCTACTGCTTACACATTCCTTTGCTTTGCTTGCAGTTTTTTTGTACTTTGGGGTCAAACCCAGTTGTACTCAAGGGCCACTTCTGGTTTGGTGATCAACATTCTATGATCATCATTTCAAGGTGTCTAATTTTCTATAATAATATATTCTGTAGCACCGATAAATTACAATTTGATTTCACTATGTTTCTTTTGACAATTGAGATAGAAAGTAAAAAAAAATTGTGCTCACCTTCCACAGTGCTAATATAAGCAACATTAGCAATAATAATCCGGCAAAAGCACTCAATAGGATAACCCACAATGGCACTCTGCCTGGAAGACCATCTTTGGATATTTGAATAGCAAGCTGAAAATTATTAAACAGTATTGTTAACACTAGTAAACACAAACCTTTCAGTATATAGAATTTTCATAGGTTATACATTTGTAGACAATAGTGCTTAGCCTTATTTCTATAACAAAAAACATACTTATTTTGTAGTAAAAATATTCATTTAAAATATCTATGTTAAATTTATTAACAATCTATAAATTTCCTTCTAAAATATATACATAAAGAATATGCTGTTTGCGAATTAGAATTTTCAATGATTGGATGAATTTATCTTTTAGAGAACCAGAATTTCTATATTTTGAAGATGTCAGTACACTATCACAATAAATACATTTAGACTGAACAGCACAGATGGTTGACATGTGAACTTGTAAAAATTTCCTCTTCTAATTTTAAAGTGACTTTTTGGTTATTTATGAATTGAGATACTGTTTTCATATAGTAAACTGTGCATATTTCAAATGTGGAGCTAAATGAAGTTTCGCTTATACAGTCACTCCCAAAGTGCTTATTCTGCTACCAGACTTTCATTTAGTTGAGTTTTGTGTCACTGTCACTGAACTTATAAATCAGTTCTTAACTAGAATAAGTATGCATACATAATATATACTGTAGCACTGTTCTCCCGTTGTTCATTGTTCATCGATTTGCTCAAGTGGGCACCAGAAACGTCTCCATTGTGAGACTTGTTACTGTTTTTGGCATATCAAATACACCTTGGGAAGCCTGCCAGGCTCTGCCATGTGGGCGGGATACTCTATTACAAAATGTCACGGTCCTCCCGCTGTTCATTGATTTGCTCGAGTGGGCCCAGTAACGTCTCCATCATGAGACTTTTTGTTACTGTGTTTTGGCATATCAAATGCATCATGAGTAGCTTGCCAGGCTCTGCCGTTTGGGCGAGATACTCTCGGTAGCTTGCCGGGCTCTCCGAGAGGGGCGGAGGAATCGAACTCGGGTCGGCCATGTTGGCCGCTTGTAAGGCAAATGCCCTACTGCTGTGCTATCGCTCCAGCCCTTTAAAAAACGTGTGTGTGTATATATATATATGCATATATATATATATGTTTTGGGTTCACACATCTGGTGGTGCTCAGGGCTTACTCCTGGTTCTGCAGTTAGGGATCACTCATGAGGGGTCTTGAGGGAATAATAGTAGGGTGCCAGGGACTCAAACCTGGGTCGACCCATGCAAGAACATGCTCTGCTGGCGCTACTGTCTCTGCAGTCTTGAAAACCAGAGTTTTACTAAACTTACGTTCGTTTATAACATAAAGTTTCAGGCTTGCTGCCTAAAACCTGGTAGATGTTGATTTTATGATTTTTACCGCTTTAGTCACTAAATAAAACTTCAGTACTCTGCAACTCATCCTTTGATTTCTCAGGAAACAAAATTTGGTTTGATGCTAATAACTAATAAAAGTTTAAGAAAGTATTTCAACTACTTATTCCAAGTGAAAGAGGAATACAATGAATGCAACAAGAGGCTGACGGGAAGTATTTGCATAGAATGGATCTGGATCCAACACCTCAACCACTCTGAAAAGGTCACTGCGGCATTGAAAATACTGAGCTTGGTAATACTGAATATATATACAGTCAGACTTTTTTTTGGGGGGGGTTACACCCAGTTATTCTCAGGGGTTACTCCTGGCTCTGCACTCAGGAACTACTCCTGGAGGTACTCAAGGGACCATATGGGATGCCAGGAATCGAACTCAGGTTGGTTGCATGCAAAGGCAAATGCCTTACCCGCTGTGCTATTACTCCAGCCCCTACAGTCAGGCTTTTAATTATTTATTTATTTTTTTGCTTTTTGGGTCACACCTGGCAATGCTCAGGGGTTACTCCTGACTCTGCACTCAGGAATCACTCCTAGCGGTGCTCGGGGGACTAAATGGGATGCTGGGAATCAAACCCGGGTTGGCTGCATGCAAGGCAAACGTCCTACTCACTGTGCTATTGCTCCAGCCCCCGAGTCAGGCTTTTTAAAAATAGATGTTGATATTTAAGATATATCTCAAATAAGCCCCTGAACTTGCATATACAGACATTGGCAAAGGATTAGTAACCCTCCCTAACCTCATGCTTTTACAAATAACCTTAGAATTTAATGCTTTTTATATCATTTTCTTTTAGTGTAAAATGCAGAATAAGTAGCTCCATTAGGAATAACTAATATTTAGGGGAAATAAATATAATAATAACTCTAACATACTGATTCTAACAGACATATTGAAATAAAATATACTCTTTTCAGTATAATTAACACTCATTTCCTGTACCTATTGGTAAATTTTGACTTTATGTGGACCAACTATGCAGTTATAAGCACATTTATAAAATATGTAAAAATTATATGCATTTATTTTTTATATGTTACATTTATTTATATGTACCTCTTCTTTAATAGTGAATACTTATGAAGGTCCTTGGTATTGAAGTAACTTTTAAAAAGAAGTAATATAAAATAAAAAGTTGTAAAACAACATCTAAATGCTAGATAATTTTCAAGTGAAATTTTCTGACTTAGAATAACCATGTGGGGTATTTAAGCTCCTCCATAATAAGATGGAAAATCAGGTTAAAGTCTCACATCTATAGCAAGTACTTTGACTTTATTTTATAAAAGGACAAGCAGAAAAATTCAAACCATTGTATTTTTACTGAGGACATTAGCATATATTTGTATCATGAAAGAGTATTTCATTTTTGTTTCAAATTTCCCTATGACTAAATAAAAAAAACCCACATGTATTTCTGTACAGAACGACATTTTCTTTAAGAATTTGTTTTCCAAGTCTGCTCTTTAGATGTCAACTGCTTTTTATAATGTCAGTTTTTAAGAAGAAAAGTTGCACAGGCATCATTTGTTAGTCAGGTGAAAGCAAAAACATCAATTTACTGGGATAGTTTGAAGCAATAAAGTCAAACATGGCATGCTAATTGTAAATATCATGATTTCTCTGAGTTTCTAACAAAGAAAAATGAGACTGAAATCACACTTGCAACTAATCAAGTATAATTTGGAGCAACAGCATCTGCCACTTATTGAGAGAAGTACTAGTAACTGCTTTAGGGACTAGAAGCAATTATAAAACATTATGTCACAAAATTCAGAGTGAAATGTGTAATATTTTCAAAACTTAAGAGTTTCACTTACCTCTCTCTTTTTATTGCCAGAGCTTAAAATCAGTGATGTATTTTCACTCTGAAGTTCTGCTCTTACAGTAAGATTAAAACTGTAAAAATGTGCCTAAAATAAAGGAATTTATTTTCAATGTATTATGTTAATTGCAATCAGTGTCAGACACATTTGAATAGTAAACTTTTTTTAAAGTAGGATTTTTCTGAGATTAGAAGTAACAGTTTTGATAACAACCAAATGTAAAGGGTGGTACTGAATGATGAGTACATACTCTCTTTCTTCTCTATACTCAAATTTTCATTTGTAAGTCTTTGTTAAAGAACATTTGTTTCTAAATAATTTCTATCATATTTTCCTTAGAAAAAATTAAACTCCATACCAGGAGGTTCACTCCATGGCTTGAAGGCCAGCTGCACATGCTAGGGGAAAAGGTAGCTCAGGTAGAGAAGGGATCACCAAGTAAAGGGTGTTGGGAGGATCCTCCCAGGATGGGAGATGCATGCTGAAAGTGGACTATAGACTGAACCTGATTACCACTCAATGTCTCTTTTGCAAACCACAGCACTCAAAAGGAGAGAGAGAACAAAAGGCAATGCCCTGCCACAGAGGCAGGGTGGGATGGGGGGGATGGGGGGATGGGAGGGATACTGGGATCATTGGTGATGGAGAATGGGCACTGGTGGAGGGATGGGTACTCGATCATTTGTAAGTCTACAACTGTACCTCATGGTGTTTCACTAATGAAAATTTAAAAAAAAAAGAAAAAATTAAACTCTAAACCTGTCCACTTTTATATAACTAGGTATGAAATAGACGCATTCTCATAATAAACTTACACAGAAGTTTAGAGACATGGAATTTTCACTATTCAACATTTTCTTTCTTTCTTTCTTTCTTTCTTTCTTTCTTTCTTTCTTTCTTTCTTTCTTTCTTTTTGGGTCACACCTGGCAATGCAAATGGGTTACCCTTGGCTTTGCACTCAGGAATTACTCCTGGCGGTGCTCAGGGGACCATATGGTATGCTGGTCAGTTGCACGCAAGGCAAACACCCTACCTGCTATACTCTCATTCCAGCCCCTATTCAACAATTTTTGACATAAAAATAGAAACTTAATAGAGAAATCCTACAAATAGTTGATTTCATACAATTAACCCCAAACAATAATAAATATAATTAGCATATACTTGTTTGTTTATTCTGATTTGGGGGCCATATTTGGTTGTGCTCAGAAGCTACTCCTGGCTGGGTGTTCAGATGCTCCGTGTGGTTCTTGGGATTGAGCCTGTATGCATAGCATGTGCTCCGGCCCTTAGAGCTGTCTCCCAAGCTCATGAACTAAGTTTTGGGTAGTTTGCTTTTAAATTATTTTCACTGTATTGAGTCTAAAAAATGTTCTCTGAATATTTTGCATGTAAACTTTATGTGAAAATATGCTACATGTTATTTTTACATGTTCACACAATATATATGAATATGTGTAAAGTCTAATCTAACACAATGAGTCCAAACATATTAGCTCTGTCCTTTGTTAATAAGGTTGAGAAGTCATTTTCTAAGTCTTTGTTCAGTAAACTGAATTCTAAGGTATTAAGGGAAGTGTAAATTTTGGTACTGTATTTACTCTTAAAGTGCAATGAAAAGAAGAGAGATGGGAAAGAAACATGAGTTTGGAAGGACTTAGAGATCACTTAGTTATTATGGACATGAAAGGTAAAATCAATCAGAACTAGGGCTTGGACCACAGATTTTTAGACTTCCAGTCTTTGTACAGAAGCATTCTGTTTGACATGAAGTAATGAGGACATCTTTAGTGCTATGACTCAATAACTGCAAAGAATAATGCAATCACTTACTTTTATGAAAGTTGGCTTCCATAAGATAAGTGAAATGTTCATTTGGGTCATATCAGAAGGAATGAGATCACATGTGATGGTAGCAAATTTACAGGTACTACAGTCCTATTAAAAATCAAAGGTATATGTCATTTAATAAAACATAAAATAGAAACAATATAGGTATGTTTAGGTCTAGATATTCACTTAGAAAGCCTGGGGTAAAACTAGCATGTGTCTTGGTTAACAGAATATACCGAAATTGTGCCTCGTTTGAGATCTTCAGATTTGGATATGATCATTTCCTTCCCAGAGTTGATATGAAGAGGATCCTGAAGGTCACTAGGCCTGCAGTTTGCATTCTGAAAAGATAAAATATTTATTTTTCAGGCCAGGCATGATGTTAGAAAAATGACTATAAATGATATCTACTGCCATAAATGCAGGAGCCATTGTATGAACTGCTCAACATGGAAGCAGCTATTTTATATTTTATATCAGTGACATATGCACTCCCAGGTAATAATGCCTGCCACTGAAATGTGAGTATTAGTTAGTATTAGTTAGTATTAGTATTAGTATTCAGGTTGTTAATTATTTTTTAAAAAAATGTTAACATTCTTACTATTAAGGAAAAGAATGTTAGTAAACTTAATGTTACATAAATGCATTATTTTTATCAATCATTAGTTTATAAGTCCCATAATCAGAGAGAAAAAATAAAGCTCTACGAGGAAAAAGAAGTGTCAGCATTTTTATTACTTAATATGATGGTTTTTATAGCTTTATGAAATAAAAGGAAAAGAGGGATTTTTAATCTGTAATTTTATATTCAACCAGCAGTAACTTTAGAGGGTAAGTGAAGCGGTAAGATATTTAGTCCACAAAGGGGAATGATTCATCCATGTTTACTCAAATACAAGCTTAAAATGTAATATTTAAAAGGTGGTAATTTCCTTGATTTTTTTGAGGCTCAATCTAATAAACTTTTTTATTCCCCAGGATATTCTATACCCTTGATATAAATAATAAAGAACAAAGGATGAAAATTCAGAGAAAAATTAAGAAGTAGAAAAAGCATAATTTTTTCCCTTTTAAATTCTCATTCATACACTTTTTTCTGGATTAAAGAAAAAAGTTTTTAATTCTTGCCTTAAAAAAACATTCAGGGGGTAGGGTGCTACCAACAGGTTAACCTGCATCTGTGGGGTGATCACATCAGCAGCCTGTTGGTGTCTTCAAGCTTCCTAATACCCCAAAATTGCCGCTATGCCTTTGGCTGGACTCAAACAACTTGGAACCAAGTTTACCAAGAAATTAAACGGCCAAAAGTTAGGTATGTGGGAGCCAAGCCCACAAACCACCTCTGGCTCAGCTATACAATCTCATTTATTGGTGTTATTTCAGAGACTCATAGATAAGTCTTGAAATAGATCCAAAGCTGTAGTTAATCTTGAACCTGTGCATGGCTGAAGAGACTGGGGTAAGTCATAGGGGGACAAGGTGGCCTGGTGGCCTACCCAAGCAGATCCCCCGGCAGCCACTTGCTTTCACAATCCAAAATCGCTGCCATACCCCTGGCTTGACTCCACTGTCTCAGGATGGACCTCACCAAGATATAATCCACTGAAACTTATAGTGTGTGGGTCTTGTGACTGAAATCTCTAGGCTTTCTCGGGATTGGGATGGGCTACCTCCCCACAACTCCTTGTACTTCTGGAAGGCTCAGCAGTCACATCCACACCCCAAACCTGCCACCCAATTGAAAAGCTACTCTAGCCTTACCATACCAATAAAAATACCAAATGCCCTGAACAAACACCATGACCTCTTAGCACACCTGTATTGCAAAAAATAATGCATAAAAGGAAAAGGAGAGAGAGCGAGAGCAAGAAGGAAAGTGCCACCCATAGAGGGAGGTTGGGGGTTGGGGGTCGGGGGATTGTGGTGGAGTAACGGGGACTGAAACCCAATTATGAACAGTTTTGTAATGGTCTATCTCATGAATATCCAAATAAATTTTTTTTAAAAAAAGTAATGTGGAATTCATGCTGAATTTAATCAACCTAATCAATGGCTAAAAACAATAGCAGTGCTCCTACATTAGTGACCAGTAGGGTGTTGGTGGTTATTGTTTTATTCTTTACATCTTTTTTTCCTAAATAAATATGTCCATGTTACTTTGGTAAAGTTCCTCATTTAAACAGGCTTCTTACATAATAAATATCTTTGAATACAAAGTCTTGAAAAAGAAAACTGTAATGACAAATTCACAGTGCATGTGACTTACATCAGAAGAGGACCATCCATTTGGGTACAGTACAGGGTAATCGTCTGAGGTCAGATTGGGAAATGAAATTGACAGCCTTAGTTCTGGCATTGGAAAATTCCCAGTTTTTCTAATCTATAGGAAAAATAAAATAAATGTAATCTTTTTTTCAACAGTACCAATTCTATCATGAGATTTTAGTTTTTAATTGAACACTCAAATTCTGTAATAGTTTGAATCCCAGAATGAATATACATAGTTTATAGCAATGAATAAAAATTCACATAATTGAAAAAGAAAAGGAATATGCCATGGTTAGAGTTTATGTAGTCATTTATTATCATGTTTTGCTCCCCTCTTTTACAATTGGATTGGGTTTAATGGAAGGTCGTAATATAATTCTTTGACAATTTATCATACTCATTTTCCTTTGTTTGGATTTGGAAAGGAGAGAAATATTTACCCAATCTACTCAGATTGAGTATAGTATTGCTTGCCTCAGCCTAAGGTGTTTTTTTCTGTAATTCCCTAAACTCATAAAATACTCCTGATCCAAGGTAGCTGCTCCTGCCACCACTAGCCAGGTAAATTAGATATCGATATATTTCTATTTTCAAACCTATCCCGAGCTGGAAGTTTTGTGCCACTGGATATTGATAATTCAGTTTGATAAGAGGCTGATTCACTCCCAGAAATCCCCATCTGCTTTTACACATTAATCTAATATTCTGCATATATACCATCATGCTGCTAATGCTGAGTACAGCTCATTTCATTTCATTTCATTTCATCATCCTGTTATTCGTCGATTGCCTCGAGCAGGCCCCAGTAACGTCTCTTTCATCCTAGCCCTGATATTATATTCAAGGCTCTTTAGGAGAATGAGGCCCATCATTGTTACTGGTATTTGGCATATTTGGTACACCACGGGGAGTTTGCCAGACTCTGTCCTGTGGGCAGGCTACATTCGATAGCCTGCAAGTTTGTCCAAAGTAGGAATGAGATAATAAGATGTCATAAAAAGATGTCCTGATAAGATGTCTTGCGGCTGCGAATGCGGCCCCTGGTCGGGGCAGGGAGGAAAGCTCAACCCGCTCCCCTCCAAGGGACCCCGGCGAGGAACAGCCAGACGCAGGGGCAGGAGACTGCACTGGTCTCGTCCAGGAGCTGGATTTTATAGTCTCTGAGTCTTGGCCGCTGATAGGATTACACGGCGCCAGGGGGCCAGGTGGTGGGTGTGACCCCCGCCTACTGGAATTTGGAGGATCTGGGTGGAGGATGCTCGACTCCAATTCGAGTAGGCTTGGAGGTCTCGGCCCCGGAACCCGCGTGGCTTTGTCCCTCTGCCAGTACTGGCAGAGTACAGCTCATAAGGAAGAAAAATGCGGCAGGATGAAGTGCCATAAGTAAGTGATAAGGCAAGAAGCTGAAATCACCCTTTAGAAATCTTTACCTGCTTAAAACAGGTCTAAATGAACCGGGCTAAGCTGATGCCGTGGCCCTCTCTTCCTATTCTAAGAAGGCATGATTTCTGGGCCTTCTTAAGAAGCTCCTTCATCAATACAGACTAATGTCAAGAAATCCTAATGACCTGGTAGCTGAGCCAACTAGATTAAGCATTCCAACTAGGAGCAATTCTCTGAATATTAACTGTATCCCTTTATAACAATGTGAGCTGTGTCTGCCTCTTAAGCACATTTTTTGATTCTGACCTTCTCACTAATATGTTTCTGACCTTCTTACTAATATGTAATATGTTCTAGCTTCTCTGGCACAGTCTCCTTATCAAATTCCATCGAATTCTAAATATTTAGTCAGAAGTCATACATTTTACAATTAACATCTATTCTTTTCTGATTGAAACCAAGACCCCTTATGGAAATATTGGAGAAGACTGAGATTAAAGAACTTTTCCTAAATTCCACTACATTGTAGGTAATGCTAAGATATAGTTACCTATCTTAATTTTCCTCTATTACTTTTCCCTTGAGTTATTTTGCTTAGCTTGACCGGCTCTGCTTCCAGTCTTCTAGTTATGTTTAAGCAAAAGGCATTATATCAAGGCTGGAGAGAGAGTAAGGCTCTTGACTTGCATGTGACTGACCTGGGTTCAATCCCCAGCATCCCATATGGTCCCCAAAGTCCCACCAGAAGTGATCCCTGAGCACAGGCCCACGAGTAAGCCCTGACTACTGCCACATGTGGCCCAAATAAAAATATATAAATAAATGAAAGCAATATATTTTATGTATTTGCTTTTCTAGTAACTGAGTAGTATTCCACTGTGTATATATACACTGCACTTTCTATCTCCACTCATGTGTTTTGGGTCACTTGAGTAGTTTCCATATGCCGACTATTGTCTATTGTAAATAGCATTGCAATGAACTTAGGTGTGCAGATACATTTTTGAATTGGTATCTTTTGTATTTTCTATAGATGCTTAGGACTAAAATAGTTAGATAATATGATAATTCTGTCTTTAGTTTTTTGAGATATTTCCATACTGCTTTCCATGAACTGGACAAACTCCCATCCCTACCAACAGTGAATGAGGGTTCCTTTCTATCTCTGCTGTATCATCAATTCTTGTTTCTGACATTTATGATCTAGCTATTCTTTTAGTGTGAGGTGACAGTCATAGTCACTGTTAGTTTTGCATATCGACAGGAAAATTCAGGAATACTTCTTTTATTGGGTGACAGAGCACACCTGGCAATGCCCTGGGGTTATTTCTGCTTCCTGCACTCAGGGAACACTTCCGGTGGGGCTCAGGGGAACATATGGGGTGCCAGGGATAAAACTCGGGTTAGTTGCATGAAAGGAATCTGTTCTATTGCTCAGACTCTTCTGTAGCTATGTTTTAAAAATTGCTTCAAGGTATAATTAAACATTTAAATAAGTTTATTTTTAAAATGGTGAAATTTATAAAGAAGAATATTGGAATATAGAGATAGAATAGTTGAAACAACATGTTTCTCTCTGTTCATTCTTTTAAAGATTTTTTTTATAAATTTAAAAATAGTTCACTTGATCACTTGATATCCCATTACTCATAATTAGCTCAAGTGGGCGCCAGTAACATCTCCATTCATCCCTGTCGCATCCCTGTAGCAAATGGTGTCTGATCACTCCAGGAACATGAAGAGCCTCAAACTGATCATTCAGGGTCTTGATGAAGAAGACTGACTGTCTCATATGTTGGCGGCCATGTGATCTTTTGATGTCCCGTGGAATCCAGTAGGTAATGACTCTAGCAGTAGTCTCCAAATCGCATTATGTGACTAGCCCATCTGATTTTCGACACCTTGGCAAATGAGACAGCGTCCCTGATTCTCGATCACTGATGGAGGTAAGAACTCTGGATTCCTTCTCTCACTTGAGTAAGTGTGATACTCCAAGCATAGCTCAGTTCCTCTTTGGGATACCTGAATAGCGTTCTCATAATGTTTTTGTAAGGCCCAGGTCTCTGAGGCATATGTTAATGCAGGAAGAACAGTGGAATCGAAGAGATGTGGCCAGAGCTGGAGGTTCTTCATCCTCTTAGCTATTTCTTCGATGCTATTGAAGGCGTTCCAAGCTGCTCTCTTCCTCCTGCGCAACTCAGGTGCCAGGTCATTCATCATGTTGACTTCTTGACCTAGGTACACATAACTGCTGCATTCAGAGATGTTCATTCCATCGAGAGCTAATGGAACGTCAGGAACAAGACCGTTTCTCATAAACATTGTCTTCATAAGATTCAGCTGTAGTCTGACCTTTCCACTCTCACGGTCGAAGTTGGCCAGCACTTGTGCTGCTTGGCTAATGTTATTAGAACAATGTCATCAGCGAAGTGGAAGGGTGTAGTTGCCCACCATCTATCTTCACCCCCATTCATTTCCATTCTAGTTGTCGCATGATGTTCTTGTGGGTGGCAATGAAAAGTTTCAGTGAAATGATATTACGCTGCCGAACCCCTCTCTTGATATGGATGATCACTTCCTTGTAGAATGGTGAGATCCTGGTAGTGAATCCGTAATACAGCTCATGGAGGATCCTGATGTATTGAGTTTGAACGTCCTGTTTGGCTAGGGCTTTGTTGACTGCTGCAGTCTCAACAGAATCAAAGGTCTTCTTCTTCCATCTTCCAAGATTACCACACTATAATTGATGGGGTTCAAATATGGTTTGAACCATGGGAACACCTGCAAGGGTGATTAGAGGCCACCCTAAAAGCCTCTATTTCTCTCATAGAGCCTGGCAAGCCACTAAGAGTATCCCCCCCCGCCACGGCATGGCAAAGCTTGGAAAGCTATCCGTGGTGTATTTGGTATGCCAAAACCAGTAAATACAATGGGTCTCATTCCCCTGACCTTGAAAGAGCCACCAATACCACAGCATTAAGAAGGATGAGGAAGAAGAGGCTGATAAAATCTCAAGGCTTAACTAGGCTGCCAAAACGAAGAAGGACAAAAATGCCTGTCTGTACTTTCAGTTGATACACTGGCATCGGATGTATCCACCAAGGACCTGATGGTGCAAGCATGAAAGATCAAGTACGACATCATTGGTTTGAACAAGAAGAAAAGGCATCAATCACATCACGCTATTTTCAACACTGAAGAAGAACTGTTCCTCCAAACATGCACCTGGCCCAGACAAGGTCAGACCCAAACACCTGAAGAACCTGCCATCAGTACTCATCAATACACTGGCTCGGCTCTTCACATGATACCTATCTGAATGCAAGGTTCCATTCCAGTGAAAAACCAGCAGGACTGTACTACTGTACAAGAAGGGAGACATCCACCTCATTGGAAACTATCACCTGATCTGCCTGTTGTCTGTTGTCTACAAGCTGTTCACTTGAGTCATCCTGAATAGGATTGGCAGAACACTAGATGAAGGACAACCATGTAAGCAAGCTGGGTTCCGAAAAGGATTCAGCATGATTGGCCAAATCCATATGATAACCAAGCTCATTGAGATTTCTCGGGAGTTCAAGATGCTGCTTTGTCTAATGTTCATTGATTTAAAGAAGGCCTTTGATTTAAAAATAGTTATAATACTAATTTAAAGATAATTTCTTACCAAGTAAAAGATATTAATTTCATCTCCTATGTCTTCAGTAGAGTTAATAACTTCAGGAACTGTGTCATTGACACCAATTAAAATGTGGTACTCACTTGCAGAACTGAAAAGATTAGAAAAAAATATACAACAATGTTTAACTTTGATTTGACCTCAATTTTTCACTGTTTATACCTGAAAATTCTGCAAAACTACTTAATAAAGATTTCAGATCAAAAACAAAATTCTTTTTTCTGACACCTGAAATTAAATATTGGATTAGGGTGAATAATAGCATTATAAAATCAATTTCAATAGTCAGTGATGCTTATACAGCATCAAAAGACTCAAGTAAATAGTACAGCAGGTAAGATACCCATAGATTTTAAAATAAAAATTCACTGTAAACATGTAACACATTTTCATAAATTCGCCAATATTCTTTTTTTAAAAAATTTTTATTAGTGAAACACCATGAGGTACAGCTGTAGATTTTGCCAATATTCTTTATAGCTATAAATCATCAAGCCAAAACTTGTCATTTTTAGAAATATTGAATTTTAAAAAGACTTAAAAAGTTGTTATATTGCTACTATGTAAGATTTTATATTTTAGGATTTTGGAGCACATGAGAAATTTATTTGCAACTTTTCATAAATAATTTTTAATCAAGAATACTATAATTTTTACTAAACTTAAAATTAAATCTTTTCCATATAACTTTTCTATGTTTGTTAGATGAACACAGATAAAAATATAATATAAATGTATTTTAAACAGCACTTTAGTCAAGAGGAAAATAAATTTGCTTGGCAAAAATCTGAATTTAGGAACATTAAAATTATTGTGAAAATTCTGGTTTATAAAAAAGTTTATAGAGCAAAATAAAAAATAGCAAACAGAACTTAAAGTCATGGAAACATAGCAAAATCTACACATATCTTATAATCCTCTCATTGTGTGGTGGTGTGATAAAAGGAAGTTGACATAAAATAAAAAAATAAAATAATAAGGCTTTCAAGATGAAATTCACCAGTGATTATAATACTTGTTATATACACTGCATATCCTTACTCAGCAGAAAGTTAGAAACTTGCTTACATAAGGATTTATAGTGGGAAAGTACTATGTTTGCCAACATGATTACATTTGCCAACATGACTATAACAAAAATACATTTGCCAATATGATTGTTTGATATATCAAAAGTTCTCATGATAAATGAAGGTAGATCTCTTTAACCATGTGCCCAGTATGCATGGGCTGCTCATGTCCCTTGTAATGAAAGATCAGAAATGTGCTGGCAACTTCTGGGAACTTTGCTCTTTGCAAAGGATGTCTGGGTTCATGAGCTTGCATGAATTGAAGACTGCTAATGTAATCCAGTCCCATCTGAAACTCACATTTAAAATTAATTAGTGCAGGGACAGAAGAGATGAATACAGTTGGTAGGACACTTGCCTTGCATGCAGCAAACTCAGGATAGATCCCCAGTACTCCTTACAGTAGCTGAACCCACAAGGGTTGAACCCTGAGTTCAGAGCCAGAAATGAGCCCTGAGCATTGTCACATTGGCCCCCAAAACAAAACAAAACAAAACAAAACAAAGAAATTATTGTGCTGTTTCTCAAACTTGTGAGTGTGAGAATTATCTGAAGGGCTTGTTTAGTACACATTTGTGAGCATCGCCTATGGAATTGCTGGTTCAATAGTTCTGGGGGGAGCCAGAGATTTTGTCTGGATTATTTCCCAGGTGACTCTGACCAGGGACCACAGTTTCAGAACCACAGGATTAGTAGAAAGGTGTAGTTTCCTCCTACCCATAAAACTGTAGTCCAACTTCATATTTTACGGGGATAGAAATGTTCACTTCATTATCATATAGGGTTTCAGGAGGTTCTTCACTGTCACTAAAATTGAAAAAGTACAGCACATTCAGACAATTCATCAAACTGTTGACTATTTATTCTAAACATTTTACAAACCTTTTTTTCTTTTTAATACTATAAGATACTTGAAAATATTTTAAAAAATCGAATCACCATGAGATAGTTACAAAACTTTCATGTTTGAGTTTCAGTCATACAATGATCAAATACCCAGTACACATTCTTTACCACCAGTGTTCCCATATACACCCCTTTGCAACTTTTCCCCCACCTCCTTGGCAGACAATTTCTCCCTTACTCTTTCTACTTTTGGGCATTATGGTTTGTAATACAGATACTGAGAGGTTATCACGTTTGGTCCTTTATCTATTTTCAGCACATATCTCCCATCCCAAACGATTCTTACAACCATCATTGTCTTAGTGATTCCTTCTCTATTCCAGTTGCTTCTCCCCCAGATCATGAAGCAGGCTTCCAACTATAGGACAATATTCCTGGCCCTTGTGTCTACTGTCCTTGGGTGTCAGTCTCACATTATGTTATTTTATAGCCCACAAATGAGTGCAGTCATTCTATGTCTGTCCCTCTCCTTCTGACTCATTTCACTTAGCACAATACTCTCCATGACCATCCACTTATAAGCAAATTTCATGACTTCATCTTTCCTAGCAGTTGCATAGTATTCCATTGTGTAGATGTATCAAAGTTTATTTAAATAGTTATCTGTTCTTGGGCACTCAGGTTGTTTCCGGATTCTGGCTATTGTGAACAGTGCTTCAATGAACATACACATGCAGATACATCTGATGAATCTTATGGTAAGTAAATGCAGAAAGAACAGAAATCCTAGTGTATCAATAGGTTGAGAAGAGAGGTCAGAGACAGATACTGAAAGCTTCCAAGTTGATTCTGAAGTCCAGTGAGAATCGAAAACCATAAAGATTTACTTTATTTCTCAAACTGGGGGTCAGAATGATAGTTCAGAGTGTAGGATGTTTGCCTTGTACGCAGCCAATTCGGATTCAATCCCTGGCATCCCATATAGTACCCCGAGCTCTGCCAGTACTAATTTCTTAGCATAGAACCAGAGTAAGCTCTGAGCATTGCTGAGTGTGACCCAAAAAGCAAAAAGAAAAAAATCTCAAATTTCTCAAACTACTCTGAGAACAATGATAGGAATCCTTGGGTCAATTGTTAAAGATGTAGTTTATTGGGAATAAAGATTTAGGAAATCCAGATTAAGATTTAGGACCTAGGAATATCTTTTAACACAGTTCACATAGGTGATTCTTTTATATTTGTCACAGATAAGGATATGCCTAGTATCACAGGTGACATTTAAAATTTAAATTTATCTTGCTTACAATAGTTTTCCATATTAAGAACTTATTGCTAATATTAAGCACTTATTTATTAGCCTGATTTTAGTTATCAGTTCCTATGTAGGATATATAAGCAAATGTATATATCGGTGTACACATACACACACTCTTACACACACATTTCTTATGGCCCTTATGAGTGATAAAACAGTGACCAGCACTGGCTCTAGATCCAAAGTATATGACATACTCTTGGAAAGTTATTTAAGCCTTTGTGCCATGGTTTTTCAGCTATATAATGGGTATTTTAATACTAAAGATTACCAAATTATGACTAAATGTGTAATACTTTTAAAGTGCTTAACATAGATCCCTGGACAAAGAAAATATCCAATAATGTTAAACTAAATATTATTTAATAATTGCATATATCCCACAATCAAATGCCTAACCACCTAGTGTTTCATTTTACAGGATAACTAATAAGCACCTTATAATGACTCTGGATGTTTCCAAGTATATTAAGTGATTTGGTATAAGCAATGAAACAGTGAACGCAGCACTCTGCCTTTGGTTATAGTTATTTATTTAAAGGGCTGTTGCTACGAATGGTCCACTTTTCTTTCACCCATTCCACACTGTGAACAAATGAAATAGGTCTGACTATATGACTTCACTCTTCAAAAACGATGCAGCTCACTATGCTAGTTCAATAGAAATAATGCCTCATCCCAACATTTGATATTCAATATAACACGATAGGACACATACTTCCTGCTTATACTCCATTCTTTCCTTATGTATAAGCAATATTCAAGCTAAGACATGTTATTCAATATTCCCCAAATAGATCTACAGGTCTACCTTTGAATTTTTGCTCACTATTTGTATTTTACCCGAAATGCTCCATCTAACTCTATCCACTAGACTCTCTGTTCATGAACTCTGTTCATTCTTGATGATCCTTCTCAATTATCATCATCTTGATAAATATATCTTGGATTCTCATTGCTAAGTAGTTGCAATTTCATCCTTAATGAAGTCTCCCACTGTTGGTTTCTATTTCTCTAATGACTCTTCTACCCTGCATCATAATAACTTATATAACAATCTCAGTTCCCTACTGCCATACTCACCCTATGAGGAAAGGAGATTCATCCTCTTATTAATTTATACATTCCCTATATTAATTAAATATATTATTCATCACTGTCACTGTCACTGTCCTCCCATTGTTCATCGATTTGCTCAAGAGGGCCAAATGACATTGTGAGACTTGTTACTGTGTTTGGCATATAGAATATGTCACAGGTAGCTTGCCAGGCTTTGCCATGGGGGCAAGATACTCTCGGTAGCTTGCCGGGCTCTCCGAGAGGGGCAGAGGAATCGAACTCGGGTTGGCCATGTTGGCTGCATGCAAGGCAAACACCCTACTGGCTGTGCTATTGCTCTAGCCCCATATTATTCACAGATGTCAAAAATATTTTCTGAGTGATGGGGAAATAGCACAAGCGTTAAGGATCATATATGGTGAATCCAGTCAGATCCCTGGCACTTCATGATCCCTCTAGCACTGGTGGGTGTAGCCTTGGAAGGTCCTGAGCATCTGTGCATATTTCTGGAGGTTTCCAATGCCTGTGGCACTGCAGGACCTGAGTCCTGCAGTCTACCACAGCACTCTTGGGGCGTATCATTGAACTGTCTCACTGGGTAGGAGCAAATTGTTGAGACTGGTACCTGGATCTCCTGAGCATCACTTGGGAGTTCCCCCTCCCCAAATTCCTGAGTTGATTTGATTGTATAGAAATAATCTACCAAGGAATTAATTATTTTACTTTTATCCCTTCACACTGCATTTATTTAGTGATCATTACATGTTAGTGACCATGTTGCTCTAGGAAATAATGTAATAAAATGAACCTTTATTTTAGGGAGTTCATGATTCAGTTTATAACAACAAGAAGAAAGGTAGCCAACATTACAATTTCCTTACAAGCTTTTACTACTTTTAGTTTATATGTTCTCTTCCATAGACTTTGACTTTTTTGAATAAAATTTATTAAGCTACAAAAGAGTTTCATAAAACTTTAAGTGGCTCTAGTGACTCAATTGACATTGATGGGTAATGCATCACTGTCAAAATGAAGGTTTTTAAGTTACCAGAGCCTGCAAAACTTTAAATAAACTTAAATTTGATTTGGTGAGTACAAATGATATGTGATTATAATCTTTTCTTAAACTTACAGAATCATTGCTTTAACCTATTTAGATGTATTACTTCTATTAAATGAGACTTATTTTGCTAATCATTCACAAAATTATTTTTGTGAAGCAAAGTGGTTCGTTACCTTGTACTTCTACTGATTTCAATGTGTAAGATATTTCCAGTAAGTTTAAAAAACAAATGTTCTCTCTAAAGAAATTATGTCTACTCATACACACATACAAATGCATTCATATAAACCAACCTTGTTGTGCTCAAATGAATTACCACATTTTCCATAAGATTAGATGTGTTAAATTGAAATAATATTTTGAAAGTTACCTACAAAATAAAAATATATAATTACTAACAGAAAAAGAAAATATCTGATTGAAATGTTCAATTACATAATATTACCTACACTGAAATTATGTATTTAATATATATTTTATAAAATAAGGCTTCCTCACATTTTAAATTTGAGAAAATATGATGCATATGTTTTTAAATGTGAGCCTGTAAAGTCATTTACATATTAGTATTGCATTTTAGTACTTAAGTTATGTTAATGAAGTATTAAATGTATCTAATTTGAGTAGTTACATCTGAGCATATGGATTAAATGATGCACAATTCCTCGTAAACCCCAACAAACAGAATATAAAATCAATTATTTTTTCAAAAAATATGTCAACAGAAGAGTTCCAGTCTAAAACCTCAAAGATGCACAAGAAACTATAATTCCCATTCTCAAAACTAATCGTGGTTTGCATTAAACTATTCTGGGATATGGCTAACAAAACAGATACTCCAAATTAACAGAAACTAATAAAAAACTAAAATAACAAATATTACAAAATACAGAGCTTTGTACAATAAGGAATTTTAATCAGTTTCAGTTCCAAACACAGAAGGTATGATTAAAATTCATGGGTCAAGGTATTTGCATAGTTATACATTGATGAGGGTGTTTTTTTTGTATAGAACTTGACATTTTTATCTATATTATCTGAATGGCTACCATTAGAAGGATTCAGACACTGCGTTTTGAGCACTTATGGTTTACATCTGACCACCACATCTACTACACATAATGTTCTTACCGCTTCTCCTCTTCTCAGGAAAGGATAGCCAACTTTACATGTGATGTTATGATTGGATTCACAACTGTCTTTTTGTATTGCCTAAGAGAAGAGAGTAAACAGTGTCATCAGACGCTCAGATGAAACACTCAAGCACAGCTTTCTGCAATTCTCTGAGATGTGCCTTGGATTCTGTTTTACCAAAATTTGTCTCTCAATTTAATACTCACAGTATTCTGAGTTTGCCTGTCTCAGAGCATGGAAATCTGAAATTCATGAAGTGGTGACTTAAAGATTGCAGCCCGCAGTACTCTCCAATGTAGATCTACCACCCTTAAATGTAAGTCCAAATGGCACCTTCCTACCAGTAATTTGGAGGCTGACTGTAATAAGCCGCCATGCTCTGCTACAGAAAAGCCCACTGTGAGTGGTGTGGTCACTGAGGAGTTTAGCACAGCGCTAAGGGAATGGGCTCTGACAGCAATCAGCAGCCTTTGCATCCTAACACCACTTAGTAGCTTTGTCCTTGTGAGTGCTCCCTGCTTCTGTGGGACTCCCTATCATGTGGGATTTAACTTTAAAAAGTCACTGAGGGATGCAGAGAAATAGTACAGGGGGTGAAGTTGCTGCTTTGGATGTGGCTGACCCCGGTTTGATTTTTTGTGGCACGGGCTAGGTGGTCTCTCCAGAGCACTTCCAGGGATCACTCCTGAACACAGAGCCAGAATAGCCAAGTGAGCACTACCAATTAGTAGCCTCAAAACATAAATAAATAAAATGACCCCTGAATATGAGAGTCAGCATTGCCTATATTGAGACATTAGTTTTCAAGAATTAGTCATTATGTCTCTAAGCAATATCATAATAAATGTTGAGATAGCGGAAACACCTGACTTTATACAAACTAAACACTAGTTTTAATATTATATACAAGTATTGTTTTATAATATGAAATATTATTCTTAATTCATATATATAGACACAGAATTTTAACTCTGGGAATTCATTTGGAGATGTTCAAATATGGAAGTCTCAATTATGCCCGATACACATCTTATGTCGCTATTTGTTAGTGTTGAAAAAAACCCAAAGACCTGAAAACTTCTGTATGATGATAAAACATTTATACCACAACTCTCCTGCTAAAGTAAGGATTTAGCCTGAAAAGAAAAAGAGTATTGTGATAATTTTTTCATGTAAATTTTTTGTTGTGTTATTCCAGATACTTGTGTTATTCCCTTTGGCCCTTCTATACTATTTTGAATTTCACTTTAATATTTACTTTTCCCTTTAACTCAGTCTCAATTTTGGTGATTTAAGGAATTTCTGGATCTTATTATTCTGATAAATTGGTGACACTTTTCACATGCTGAATCCAAGAAGTAATACATATTTCTAGAGAAAGATAGCAAAACCAAGGCTTTGAAGAAAATATTAGTACTTTTAACCCTCTGTGGGTATTAATTTTATATAAAATGCCTTCTATTCTTTAAAAAATCAAGAAAAGAATTACAACTGGTACAGCAGCATGGGAAGTAGGTTCGAGGAAAAACAACTCTGAAAGAAAAGAGACTATCTAAAAATTTACCTCAATTCCTGAAAAAATTAGGTTTGGAGAATAATTTACTATGGTTCTGGTGTTATAGGCACTGTCCTTTTTATTTTTGACTGTAAGGCTAATGTTGAGTTTATCGTTGTGAGACTTGACAATAAGCAAGTCTTTTTCCGTGGTGGACACATCCAGGGCAAGGTCTGAGATACATCTGTCCTTGTTTCCACAGTCTTTGGCAAAGGGAATCTGAAAGAGCCACAGAAAATTATTTATTTATTTATTCATTCAGAAGTTTTATTCACAAGCAATAACGAAAATAAGCAGGTAATGAAGGGAGAAGAGAGAGGATGAGAAAGAAAGTGAGGGAGAGAGAGACAGAGAGAAAGAAAGAGACAGAGAGAGAATCAAAGGCCCACACGCACTTCCAGAAGCAACTGGAATGCTGAAGTGAAGTGGGCAGACAAGGAATTTTTTCATTGACAAATAAATACATCAAATCATTTGAAATTTGTCTTACGCTATTATTATAAAATGTTGGGGGAAATGTTTGCTTTGTCAACATTTTATTATGAGCATTTTTATCAGGAATTGTATATTGGGCCTCTATCTTCCAACTGAGATTCTATAATGAATATTTCACTTTCTCTGCCTTATCCCTCCACGTATCTATTTCTGGCTGTTCTCCATTCCAGTTTATTTCTAAATGCATTTCGAAGTGAGACCCAAGTATACGTTGCTCCTCAGCTCTGGGGCATTTATTTATTGTATTTAAAAAATTGGGAGGGGGTAAAATTTATAAGTTGTGGAATATACAATCTACTAATTCTAAGTTTACATTCGTAAGCTATAAGAAACATATTTAAAAATTAGTAAACATTATTGAAAATTATCTTATTAATTTGTGTGACAGTAATAACATATTACAAAGATAGGTTAAACCACTCACAAAAAGCACAGCATCTCAAAAGGAATTTCACATTTCTTTCTATAGTTAATAGATAATAAATAAACTTTTACATGTGGGTATCAATGTCATCTATCTCCTTAAAAATGAGCAGTTTCCACAGCTGTTTTTTACTGGCCTTAGTTTGCCAAAGCAAGACAGCTTCCAAAAAGGACTCTGAGACCTAGGTCTCTAAGTGGACATTTTCGTTCGACTCCAACTGTGAGCTATTTCCATTAAAAAAAGATCAAATACCGGAATGTGAAAGTACTTACTTAAGAGGGTGGAAAATGAAAGGCCATATTAACTGGGAGTTTCCTTGACTCCTCTTCTTAATGTCCTCCCCTTATGCACTCCGCCCCCAGAGCTGTCCCTTCTAGTTCTTTCCTAATATCTCCCCATTTCTAACACCTCTGGTCCAGCCATCCTTACTTCTTCTCATCTGTGGTAACAATGACCTAACTAGACTCCCCACCCCACTCTTGGTTCCCTCCAATCAATGTGCACACTGTCGAAGGAATGAGCATTCAAATGACAAATACAAGGAGAGATAGTATAGTGGGCGTAGCACTCACTTTGAATGTGGCCAACCCATGTTTGAGCCCCAGCACCTCAAATGATCCCCTGAGCATGGACAGGAGTGATCCCTGAGCATAAAGCCAGGAATAACCCTGAGCACTGTCGGGTGTGTCCCAAAAATAAAAACGAAAAAGTGACAAATATACCCTCATCCAAATATAAACAAGAATTATTTAAAAATATTTTAAAAAAAGAAAAAAAATCTCATCCTCTGACACACAGAACCAGTTAAAAGTCTTTGATATTGATGTATTGTCTATTGTCCTTCGTGCAGTTTAACATCTATGCATGGACACAGAGATCTGAAAGGTCAGGTTCTGTCATGTCTCCCATCTCGTTCTGCAATGCTCCTTAGCTTCAGGCACCTGGGTGAGCTGAGTCCCTGCTATGCATTAGAACCTTCACAGTAGCCCTCTGTCTAGAACCTTCTTCCACTTCTTCCACCACTCTTATAGAAAATCGTTCTCTGCTTCAGTTCTCATCTCATATATCATCACTTTTTTGGTTTTGTTTTGTTTTTTGCTTTTTGGATCACACCTGGCAATGCACAGGGGTTACTCCTGGATCTGCACTCAGGAGTAACTCCTGGCGGTGCTCAGAGGACCATATGGGATGCTGGGACTCGAACCCGGATCAGCTGCGTCCAAGGCAAACACCCTACCCGCTGTGCTATCTCTCCAGACCTGACATATCACCACTTTTGGGGCGTGATCTGGGGTCCCCTTAGCTCAGGCAGAAGTTTAAATAGCTCTGCCATCTTCCCAAGAATGCATTTCATGACCTAATACCCATCTCCTAGATTAGACTGTATTAGACTGTATGTGTGGTGTAGGGTAAGATACTCTTAATAGTGACTTTGGAGAGAAGGAAGAAAAAGTGGAAGACAGTTACAGAGGAAAAAACAAAAAAATTTCTAACATTTGCTCTGGGGCGGGGGGAGGGGCTCACTTCTGACTCCACCTTCTGAGCACTTTTTCAGGGATGAGAAGGTCAGTTCTTTCCTATGCATCTCTGAACGTGCTTGTGGGAAGCATGGGCTGTGCTTTTATAAGCATGTTCTGTAACTTTTATAAGGTGGGTTCCCATGATGAAGCTGAGATTGCAGATCGTGGTTGCTGAGTTTTTTTGTTATCTGGGACTTAAGACTGGGTAGGCGAACTATGCCCTTCAATTCAGTGTTTATGAGTCATGAAAGGGAAATCTGATGGGCCAACTCAGAGTTGGGTGCTCCTGATTTCAAGCGAGTTAAAAGGGAATGCCATTTAGAATTTCTGTTAAGCTATCACAACAGGAAACTAGGAGTTGTGAAAAGCTAGAAGAGTTTAATTACTTAAAAACAATTTTAGCAAAACCCCCATTGATTTACATAATGTTGCCTGTAAATTTTGAGTTTTTTCCTAATATGGTCAGAAATAGGAATTATGAATTTGAAAATTTCCAACTTACGTGTTCATGTACTGAATTTGGCAAATCACCATCAAGAATGGGCCCATTTTCTGGATCACTGAGATTAAAATCCACAGTTATTCTCACTGAGTCCCGGAAGTCATGCTTGTCCTAGAGGTTAAAATAGGAAATATATTACTGGTATAAAATTAATTGGATGTTCAGATTTAGTTATGGTTTCCTTCTCCTGTCTCTGTGGGTCAAGTTTACCAGACAATTCTTGGACATCCTATTTGGCCAATGACCTCATCAGGCTTCTGTTTCACTGGAGAGGGGCTTCCCTTCTTATCTAGAGAGGGACATGTCTGCAACGCAGATTGGACAGTTGACTCACCTCCGCTGCTCAGAACCTGCTGGAGTTCTGGATAAATTGCCATGTCAGTTAAACCACTCTGAATTACTGCATACCATTACTGCTTCTTATCATCAGCTCAAAATCACTATGTAGCTCTCTGGAAAGAAAGATGGCGGCTGCATGGGAGCCTGGTGGAGAGCAGGTCTGAGACGGGGGTGGGGGTGCGATGGATACCTCATGGGACGGGGGGCGCTCCGGCCCGTCCTTCACGCCCGACCGAGGTCACAGTTGCCCCCCACGAGCGGCTCTCTGGCACGGCCACGGCCCCAGAAGCACAGAGACCAATCTCTTAATTAGCTGACTCTCAGTAGAAATACTTGCAGGGTTAATAAATAAAATAGCAGAAATCCAAAACTGCACAGCCGCTATCGTGGCCGCGTGACATCATTTAATTCTTGAACCCAGCTGTAGAAAGCAATGCTTTTTTTCACAATGCTTTTTCAGCATGGCTGAGTTTGGGGGGGGGGTAAAGTCTAAATAATAATGGTGCAACTTTTATCAAAACAATGAAGCTAGTCAAAGTAGACAGAGTGTTAACTAGAATTCATCTACCCCACAGACATTGGGGGGAGGGGTTGGGGGGTTTATTGGGGTTCTTTGTGGTGAAAAATAAGTATTGGTAAAGGGAATTGTGATTGATATTTGCATGACTGAGACCTAAACTTGAAAGCTTTGTAATTTTTCCCACAGCGATTCAATAAATAAATAAATAAATTTTAAAAAAATCACTATGTAATACTTCTAGGAGAATTTCCCCATTTCAGAAGAGCAAACTTTTCATAAGTCAGTTTCATTTCACTGATACAACATACATCTGGATTTATAAAAATTTTATAATCAAAAATGATATTTATAATAGTAAAATGGTGTAACCATAATTACTGTTAATACTATCATCACCATCATTTGAGGTTTCATAACTTAGACACAAAGCTTTCATAGCTTTAGATGCACTGTTGTATATTACCTCAGCAACATTCCATGCATGAACAACTATTACAGACTTTATTTTACAAACAACTGAGTTTTCAAAAGACCAAACAAGATTGCCAAAATCACTTGGAATGTGGGAAGCTAGAATACAAATTCCACCCTGCCTGACTCCAGAATAAACTTTTAAAGTACCCAATAAAATTCAAAAGAAAATTATAAATTTTGAAACTAGTTCAGAGGTTCCCAACCATATTTGGCCTGCTGCTTCCTTTACAGAAAAAATCACTCAGCGTGCCCTTGAAAACCTACTTCCTTTAAGTGCACAAACAGAAATGCCCTCTGCCAAGTTGCACCGAGGTAAATAGTGCCCCTAAATATTCTAGTACCCTGGGAAGTACTGCTACACACTTTGGAAAATACTGAACTAGTTCATTGTTTTAATACCAACTACTAGACTAAGCTAGATAGTAAACTGACAAAGACTATAGTGAATTTTAATAAACTGGAAGTAGTGCCACATATGGTTTTATATGCTTTCATATTTTATCTAAATGCAAACTAAAATGTTTAGTTCTAGTGAACGAAACAGGTTAGGGCACCTTCAGTTTGTCACTTACCCCTCATTCATAGATTGATATAGACAGAATTGTTTCATTTTGATATATGTGATGGGGAATATTGACTTGAAAATTTTGAGCTATAATAATTAAGACCTACCACCATGTACCTCTTCAATTTTCAAAATATAGAATTTGAATACATGAAGGATACAAGAAATAAGTTAGAGGTGTAATAAAAAGTCTAAAGATGTATAAAATTTTAGAATATTTTTCTTTCAATCTAAAGTCAAGGTGGATACCAAATATTTTAGTAGACAGGATGAGATCTCAGAAAATATACAGTGGAAATATTCCCTCTAGGCCTTTATCTGCTTAATATCCACATTTCAGTGGCTGGAGAAATAATACAGGGGTGAAGGTGCTTGCTTTAAATGCTTTAAATTTAATCTCTGACAACAAATGTGGCTCCTTGAGCACTACCAGGAGTCAACCCTGAGCAAAGAGACAGGAATGATCCCTCTGCACAGCCAGACATGACCCATAAACTCAAAACACAAAAAAACGAAATCTACACTTGACAGACAAGAGAGGCCCAGAGAAGTTAAAATGATGATTCTAAGTTGAAAGTCTAAATACATGGATGGAAAGAATGAATAACTGAAGAGATAAGCTTCTGTATCACTGAGTACAGGAGCCATGTACTGTTCTAAAAGATAAGGATGCTTGGAAACACATGTAAAGGAGATACAAGGTAGTTTTATGAAATGCATTTGGAAATTTGAAACCGAGACATATCATTTTCTGATGTAAATGATCAAAGATTAATTTATGGTGCATACTTTAAAACATGGACTAGAGCAATAGCACAGCGGTAGGACGTTTGCCTTGCACGCAGCCAACATGGCTGACTCGGAGTTCGATTCCTCTGCCCCTCTCGGAGAGCCCGGCAAGCTACCGGGAGTATTTTGCCTGCACAGCAGAGCCTGGCAAGCTACCCGTGACGTACTCGATATGCCAAACACAGTAACAAGTCTCATGATGGAGACGTTACTGGGCCCGCTCGAACAAATCGATGAACAACGGGAGGACCATGACCATGACTTTAAAGCATATAGTATTTGACTTGAAATAAGACATCTAGACCTTATTCTTGATATGGAATAAAGCAGCTATAAGATATGATTTACTTGCCAACATGTAGAAGGAATGTTTAGTGCATTTTGATTTCAGAACTGTGATGTTTCTTTGAACCTTTCTCTCTTGAGTTCCTGAGAAAAAACTTCGAGATATCTGTCTTAGCGAATCCAATGTGACACGGTACTGCATATCTAAAAATCAAAACAGGGATAATGATTAGAAATGTTTATTTGTGGTAATTTTCATTACTATTCAGCTCATTAAACTGTCATTACAGAAAAGCCTCTTGGGCAATCAGTAAACAGATAATTTGCTTATTTTTGTACTAAACCGCTGTACAAAAAAGTAAGCAGCTACTGTAGAACAATAGTTTTCACAGACATGAAAGTAATCTCAAAGAACTTATAAAAGCTGCTCTCTGGGGGCTGGAGCGATAGCGCAGCGGGTAGGGCGTTTGCCTTGCATGCAGCCAACATGGCTGACACGGGTTCGATTCCCAGCATCCCATATGGTCCCCCAAGCACCGCCAGGAGTAATTCCTGAGTGCATGAGCCAGGAGTAACCCCTGAGCATCGCTGGGTATGATCCAAAAAGCAAAACAAACAAACAAACAAACAAAAGAACAAAACTGCTCTCTGAATTTAGGTTCTAATTTCTGATTATGCTGTATATATGGTTACACACATGCACACTGCTGTATATATGGTTACACACATGCACACTCACATGTGCACTTTGACATATCACCCCCACATCCCCCTTCTGACCACGTCTAGCCAGGCCTGTGTTCACTGATTCTCACTTCAGCATGTTAAAGTTCCTAGAATACTAAAAGTGCTGTATTAAAATAGAGGTATAAAGGACATTTTGATCTATATTATAAATATAAACAAAGCATATATAATTAGCTTGTAACTTCACTTCATAAAATAGTATCTTACATTTAGAAAATAAGTTAAACCGTATCTCAGACGCACACACAAACACACATGTACATTCGGTTTTGGGAGCCACATCTGGCTCGGTGTTCAGGGATCACTTCTAGCAGGGTTTAGGGGACCATATGCAGTGCCAAGGATCAAATCCAGGTTGGCTGCATGCAAGGCAAGCTCCCTACCTGCTTATTCTAGCCCTCCAACTCTAAACCTTATGTATTTTATGAAGTCAATCATCATTACTTGACCACTTACTATATAAGAATTAATTAAGACTTAAATAATTTAACACAAAAGTGTAAATCACTATTTTACATTCCTGTGCTTCATTTTTTCCTAGTTAGAGAACTATTTTGAAACCTAAAAATGAACAAAAAGCAAAGAGAAGTATATTTTAAGGATTAAAGGTATTTTTATTACCCCTACATTTCACTTTTATGTACTTGGTTTACAGTCTAAATTAGTCTGAAGTTAAAGATCTTCATATCTTTGAATCCGATATATTTCAACACTGTTATAAAACCATCTTAAACAGTGCAGCATGATGGGAGGGGGCGGAGGGTAGGTTGAGGTAATGCCTGAGACAAACACCCGGAATGTGTCTGACTTTCAAAAAACCCAGGTCACCCTCAGAGTGTAGCAAGGAGATTTTGGGAAGTTGAGCCTAGGAAGTACTCACGTCCTCTGCAATACCAGTTTCAGACCAGATAAAAGGGGGGGTTTGTGAAAACCCAAAGGAAGGAAAAATGAGCTCCTTTGGAACCTAATTTCCAAGCGCTACTCCTGAAACAGAATGTCTCCAGCTATTCAATTAATTATCAAGACACCCAATTTATTCATAGACAGTCAGAAAGCAGCTATGGAAAGTTAAAGCCATCACATTCATGCATGTGGTTTCTGCTCTAAAATTTGCTTGATTTGATGACCTAACCTATCTTCAGTGGAATTTCCCAGGGGAAACATATTCACAGAGTGAGAGGTGAAGTGCAGATTCCTATCATCAGTGGAACCACATTACCCCACTGGATTCCATCCACTTGGAGCAGGTTTATTGTCTTCCTGTTCAAAAATTCTTGCTCTTTCTGTCATACTCACCAGCTTCGTAAACAGTGTGCTCTTTGGACTTTAATTTCACATTAAAACACACAGTGGCGTTTATGCATACTGTTTCCTTTCCTTCCATACGGCAGTTTTTCTTTTGAATATTCACTTTATTGGGTTCAAATTTCATCGTCACTTTAACTACGGCCACGTCTCGAGACCTACAAACACAAGAAAATGCGGTGACTCGGGGCACGTGTGTCCACTGAATGAATGCCATCATCTGGGAAGTGCTTCCTGGCTGCAACACAGAGGGTTCTTCTCTGTGAGTACTCATGGCCAGGGCACCACCTCTCTGGGGAAACTAACACAGAAGAGATTCTACCCGGTGATCAACACAACCACAACCTGAAGACCTTGCTGCACTGTATATTGTGCTCCTTGAAAAATTGGACATTCTCTGTTTGCCACATTTCTGCGGGTTTTGCTCTTGCTACTCTCTGCCTTTGTACTCAGTCCCAAACTCAGAAGGGTAGAGGAAAAATGATTTCTCTTCCCTTATACTTCTGCCATCAAAGATCCGTTTTGTCCATGAAGGAAAGAGACAGAATCAAGTGTTCAGGTGAAACTTCGGAACCAAACCATTCTTTGAGAATCTGAGTTTACTGCAACCTGGCAAGAGTCCAGAGGCCTCCGATGACGTTCCTGCGTGGAATCACTCTGTTCCCATAGGCTCAGCCGGCTTCTGCTTTTGGGAAGCAGAAGCATTCTGCCAGGCACATGGGGTATTGATTATTTCATTGAAATCATAAGTTAATTTTAATAATTGGGCATTTTTACTATCTCTACTTCATTTATTTATTTATTTGCTTGTTTTTGTTTTAGGGCCATACCTGGCAATGCTCAGGGGTACTCCTGGCTCTGAACTCAGGAATTACTCCCGGTGGGTGCTCAGGCTACCATGTGGGATGCTGGGGATCAAAGCTGGGTCAACTGCATGCAAGACAAGTGGCCTATCTGCTGTACCACTGCTCCTGGCCCTACTATCTCATTTCACATGAGAGATAACTGGGGCTCAGAAATTAAATTGTTTATCAAAGGTGAAAAACCACTTAGAGGAAAATAACAGGGGTTTAAACCTTATCCTACCTGTAAAGCCCAAGGATTCTCATAATCTGAGACAAGAGCAAAGAATCTGAAATTATGCAGGAAGAGTATATGTAGCCAGAAGTTAGTCTTTTAAACCAGGCTAACCTAAATGTTGACACCTTCCCCTGGTTTCTGCCTTCTAACCAGATTGATTACAAGGAAACATAATGATCACTTATAAGTCTATTATTTACTAAAAATTACTATAGGTATACTTACTGTTTCTTCTATGCAGAGGAGAAATGCATATACATATACACATGTAAACATACATACATTCCTTAACTGGTAGCACTGTAGCACTGTCCTCCCATTGTTCATTGATTTGCTCGAGCGGGCACCAGTAACGTCTCCACTGTGAGACTTGTTGTTACTGTCTTTGACATATCGAATATACCACGGGGAGCTTGTGAGGCTTTGCCGTGTGGGTGAGATATTCTCGGTAGCTTGCTGGGCTCTCCGAGAGGGGTGGAGGAATCAAACCCTGGTTGGCTGTGTGCAAGGCAAACGCCCTACCTGCTGTGCTATCGCTCCAGCCCTCCTTACCTTGTACATATAAATATGTGCCTATACATAATTTTTAAACAGTTTAGAATGAACAGTTTCCTGATATTTCTATTCTTCTGGTAAAATGATTTCTAATGACAATACTATTTCAGCATCTGCATAGAGCATGCATATATTGATGCAGTGCTTTCTTATTACATATTTGTTTTTACTTGTTTTCTTGAACAGTAGTTTTAATATGAGTAGCACAGTGATGATGCCATGGCTCATCTTCAGCCACGTATTATTTTCTAGAAAATTTAGGAGATAAACTCTGTAAAAAGCTATGAACATTTTAAGGGTTATTGACAAGTTTTTTAATCTCCTAACAAGTTTTAACCAGCTCATCCTTTGACCTACAAGGAATGATCTGGTCTAGCTTCCTGATTAGCATTTGAATTCTCCAGCAAGAGTCTGCCTCGACTTGTAACTTACTCCACACCTCCTCTCTCCCCAAGAGCTCACTGTTGGGCATGTAGCTTCATCTAGTCCACAGGGCAGGGCTATGGCTATTTGCACCTTGGTGGACATCCTGACCACCCACTGGGCCTCAGGTACAGTACATCTGCCATCTGTACACACTCTCAATCCTTCCTGGAGCATTCAGTCTTGTTCCCCCAGGTACAATATGCTGCTTTGATCCATTCTGCTGGTGATGGTAGGGATTCAACTCTGCCATTTTGGTCCATCAGTGAAAAAGTTTCTGGTTAAGGGTAGGAAAGGCCATACACAAGAAGCTCTTGAAACACAAAACCGGAGAATAAAACCTGCACTTAACCACAGAAAGTAAATGAAAACTGGTCTACAGAACTGAATTCACCACCACACCATAGAAGTGGGAGAGAACAGGAAGTGGAAGGGATGAGACACTTTGCTAGTGGAGGGTATAGTGTGGAAAATTGTATGCATTGGAACATTGTGTACCTTAATGGCTTTGGCAAACATTATGTCTCAAAATTATTTTTTTTGTATTTAAGGGCAATATGTTTATTGTTACACTTGATCTTAGCCTATCTATTCTTGTATTTTTAAGGGTAAATGCAGTAATTAATGTCAGTTAGATCTGTTACACTGAACTATCAGTGTAAACAATGCAAACAAAACTAACTTCAGCCTGATAGCCTTTGTCCCTGACACTGAGACTCCTCATTTGGAACTTTAGTTTTCAGGGGGACTCAATCCACAGTCAGGGCTCCGTGCTAATCAGCACATTCCTTTCCTGCGCATTGCTCTGCAACTTCCTCTCCCCTTAGTGTACAGCGAGCATCTGGTGTTGGCCTTCCAAGTGGTGCTCAGGAGGCCTAGGGGCCCCTCCAGTGTGTCTTGGTCAACGACTGACTGACAGTTCAACAGGATGGACTTAGGCTGTGTTGTTTCTTGGGCCTGTGGTGCCGGGGATTTCCGGAGTTACCCCAGTGGATATACCTACACCCAGAGATGCTCAGGAGACCGTGTGAGGCCAGGCATTGAACTGTGTCTGGCGATGATTAGCATGCTCCCTAACTACAGTACTATCTCTCCCAGCACCAGTACAGATAATTTGTGAACAGAATAGCTATTATTGGAATGTGGGTTCTTTTTTAATCGCTTTTTTCTTTTTCACAGTACACATTATTCCTCTTTTAGATATTTTTTTGGGAAAAGACCACTGAGATTTGTTTCTTCCTGAATTATAGCAAACCAATCATTAATTGGAAGAATAAGCATGTTGGACTTCCATCAACGTACATGACATAAATATTTATTTATAAAGTCTTTCTTTTACATATCTTACTGCTGTTCATAACATTTTTCAAAATTATACATATTTATCATTAAGAGTATACTTTGTGTTTTTAGTCACTTTTCTTCCAAATTACATTTTTGGCATTGTGCTTTTGCTTTTGCTTGGTGCCATACCCAGGGGTGCTCAGGACTTACTCCTGGCTCTGCATTCAAGGATCACCCTTGATGGGGCCGAGGGGACTATATGTAGCAGTAGGGATCAAACCAAGGTAGACTACAATCTTAACCCAGTACTATCTCTTGGCCATGACATCATTTATATTTTATAGAAAAATGGTTAAAGCTAAATCTATTACTGTAATTGATTATATTATTTTAAGTAAATGGGTCAATGAATTAGTATGTAAAATAATGTTTATGATTATTAATGCATTTTTAGCTATCGATTGGCATTTTACAAATTAAATTAAAACAAATTGGGCTGGAGGCAGCTTAGACTCTGAGCAAAGATATTACTGAAGATGCTTTAAAGCTGCACTAACAATATAAAATGTGTTTCTGCACCCTTGTCTGTTAGGTAAATAATAGAAGAATTAATGTTCCCAAACATTTGTAAGCAATGCAGAGTTAGGGAAATGTTATTGGTTCTATTCCTCTCTGAGGTCTCTACTTCCTGCCAAATAAAATACCTCTCTCAGAGCCTTGCACACAATGGATACTCCAAATTAAGTGTGCTTCTACTTGATATCTTGATGTCATTTATTCACTTTTAAGATTTATAGAGCCTGGAGTCCAAGTGACAGGGGCAAATGGAGATGTTTGTCACTGGTGCCCGCTCGAGCAAATCGAAGATCAACCGGATGACAAATGATACAAGTGATACAAGATTCATCGACACCTCTATCTTAATGAAATGCACAATATTTATCTGAATAATAGAGCACTAAAGGAAGCGCGTCCTTGATACCTGGGCTTTAAGCTACCCCACTGACCTCTGCAACTATTCCTGAAATCCATCCGTCACTGGATGCTATGAACGTACATACCAGAAGAGGGCAGCACCACCAAGGCCCCCGATGGTTACATCCGTTAGTCCATCCCCATTTAAATCCATTTCTCCGTGGATGGACTGGCCAAAAAATTTCAGAGTCTCTCCATCTCCACCTGATGGAATACGCTGTGAAAAATCCCAACAGAGAGTTTTAAATGGCAGAAGCGTGTCTTCAAGTAATAAATCAGCCTGAGAGGACGCGGGCTGGTACACGAAAGACTGAAAGGGAAGAGCTTTTGGAAACCTGCTCGAGAGGGCCCTCCTGTGGAGACTAGACGAACTGCTCAGATGTTCCCAAGCTTTTCAGGTCATTGAACCCAGGGCAGAGCAGGAAATGTTACACAACGTCATCCTTCTAATCCTCCAGGCAAACTTTATGAGTATGGACTCTGCCTTCTGGTTCCTGTTCAGTCCCTTTGCACATCTACACTAATGGCACAGGAAATCTTGAAAACACATCAGTCGAGGGAGAGGAGAAGCAGGGGAATTATCTTGAGGGTCAATCTGGGGCACACTGGACTTTTGGAACTGGATATAAATAACACATTCCACCGAATGCATTTCAAAAATATGTGACCTTCTTTAGTGTCTGTCAAAAGATGATCCAGAAATTCAGGGGCAGGCTGGATTCCATTCCACTCCCGGGCATTCCCAAGGCCCAGAACGACACATGAGCGCAGAGCTCTTCAAAACATATCTGGGCACAGACTCCTGCTTTGGTAACTCCACTTCCTGTCTTTAGTTCAAGATAATAACATTTTATTTGGCGCGGGGCCGTGGAACACACCGAGCAGTGCTTAGGTCTTACTCCTGGCTGTGCTCAGGGATCACGCGTGGTTGAGCACAGGGACCAAATGCCATGTCAGGAATAGAACTGGGCTTGGTTCGGTGCCAGGCTAGCAATAACGTCAGGAGACCCCAATGGTAAGGAGCCAAGTCTAGGTCCTCCCTAAACTTGGGGTTTCCTCACCCTCCTTGCGTTCCATTCAAACATCATAAAATAAGAAGCAACATGAAGTAAACCAAATGGAATTATTTCTCACGCTTAAATGTTCATGTCTCATTTAGAGAGTATTTGCTTATTACCCGAGTAAAGGAATCAGGGGCCACCTACCCTTTGGGGTCTGCGGGAGTTGATTCCCTTTGTTTACAAATCATCTTACTCACAAACAGCACCTCTGGTTACCAAGGAGCTGAGTGCGGACATCCTTACCCATCTTTGGGATAGAACTTTGCTGTTTACTGAGCAAATTCAACGCTAGATTAGTTTGTTTGTTCTTGTTTAAAATTATATCTTGAAGTTTACTACTACTTTATAAAATCAATTGCTTATATATAAGTATCTCTCTTTCAAAACTAAGAATGCCACTAAGGACTAACATGCAAGGCATCAAGTGGGGGGAACTCGAGAGAAATGCCTTCCTTTATTCCTAATACCATCATGTTCCAGTGGCTCATGATGCCTGTTTCCAGTTAAGTAAATAATACCATGAAGATTTTTTAACAAAGAACAAATAATTTATTAGCTGAATGGGAATGCTGTTATAGAAATGTGCCCTTTGTTTTGTTCTTTCACTATTAATGTTCACTATTAATGTTCTAATGTTATTAGAACTTAAGATGAAAAAATAAAATAAGACTTTCCAATAGATGAAAAGATTTTGTGAACTCTGTTGAATACACAGCCAAAGAGAATTACCAAATGTCAAAAGAAGTAATTGATGTTCTGAGTTTCTTTCTGTGCTATGCAGCTAGAAGTAGTGGATTACATTTTATTTACAAGCAGTTCTTTATTTACAAGCAGTTTAAGTACAGTTATTTAAAAATAACTACATTAGAACAATTCCTTTAAGCTTTTCTATCTTTATAGTGCATTATACTACTCTGTAAATTGATATTTTCTCAAGTAGGAAAAAATTACACATATGGATTAGAGCTGTTAACTGATAGTAAATTTAGACTAGAAGCAACAGAAATCCTCTGCAATTAAGCTTAATTACTCAGGTACTTATCCCAAGGAGAAATACTTATGAGAAAATTGTAAACCTTCAGAAACACCAATTAGATGAAAACACAGTAATTTAGTCCACAAACATAAACGTAATGCAATTTTTTATAACATCAGAGATCTTGAATATAAAAATGATCTCATCTCTTATTCACTAAATAATATAATTAGTGCTTCTTTTATCCTTTTGTTCAGGATCAGAAACACTGGAGGTGCTAAAAAGATTGTTAAAAGCATACTTTTTTTTAAATTAAATTTTTCTAAGCATTTCAAAAGATCAGATGGCAGAAGTACAGTAAGTTAAAAAACTAGATGAAAGGATAAAATACAAAGTAGTTCTTCTATGAAGAAAGATAAAACAATAGTTAAATCTTGTTTCTCAAGAGTGGGAAGAAGGAAAGGAAATAAGCTATCAAACAAGACAGGTGAGGCTTGCCTGAGGCCAGCACTCTTGGGGGAGGATGCAGGTCTCACTCACCTGCGCGTAGTGTTTCCTGAGAGTCCTGCCCCTTCCGTGGTAAATGTACACCGCTCCTCCGTGGTCATCTTCTAGGGGAGCTCCGATCACGATGTCATTGAACCCATCAAGGTTGAGATCCTTCACCGCTGCAATAGCCGTTCCAAAACGAGCCCCACACGGTTCATTTTTGTTTTTCTTTGTGCAAGAATTGTGCTTTAGAGAGGAGCAGCAAGACTGCTTAATGGGTTCCAGGCTCATTTTATATTCAAACCTCGTCTGGAAGGAAGATACACAGGATACTTAATGCTTCCATCAGGACTGCAGCACAGGAATTTTTAAGTACGTAGGAAATCAGCACCACTAAGCACATCAATGGTGAAGTTTGTAAAAATTGCTTATAAAAATTGGGAGCCTACCTGAGAGGCAAGATTTTAGTGTGTGGATTGTAGAACTGACAGGAGAAACATAATAAGGATTTTTCAATTTTTCATTTTTATTTCAGGTACCATGATTGGCAGTACTGGTAAAAGAAGGGGTTCCTGCCGGCAAGTCCCAACTAATACCCTGAATACTCCCTCCACCATGCCTCTCAGTAAGCTCAGAACTGAATGCAAATGAGCGAATGTATCACTCAGAGCACCTTTTCAAAGTCAAAGAACTGAATACTTAAGTCCTTAATTCATGTCACTATCTTTCCCTTGAAGTCTACATATCTGGACAAAGAGAAACCTTCTACTGTTCTAAAAGCAAGTTTTCCCCAATGCTATTCAGCATGATAAAGGGCGGCAAAGAACTGGCTTGGAGAAAGCACTGGAAATGATGGACAGGAACACACTCCCCCCCCCCCGCCCCCCGAAAAAAAAAATTGGCAATGCACCAAAAATATTGGTAGACTAAGTAAAAATATACAGAAAGAGAGTTGGATAGATAATCCAGGGATGAAGTGCTGCCTTCCACGGTGCTGCCTCCTCTTCCATGGCTGGCCCTGCATTAAGCACTTTTAGGAGCGAACCCTAAAGGCAGAGCTGGGGATAATTCTAGTACTTCTAGGTATATAGGTATAATTCTCCACCCCAACCCCCACCCCCACCCCCAAAAAAACAATAGATAGGAATAAAGCTATACTATTTATGATAGAACATAATATGGGAGGTCAGGTAGTACAGGAATTTAGGCCCTTGCTTGGCCTGCACTACATATAGTCCCAAGCACTGCCAAGAAAGATCCCTGAGCACAGCGCCAGGAGCACAGCCAGGTGTGGCGCAAAAATAGAAAAAAATATAGGAGAGATTCTAAAATTTAAGAAAGCGAAGCAGATGAGCGCCAACTTTACGACAAACTACAAAACCAAAGGAAACAAGGCCCTTCTTAAATCAATAAATCAATTACTTTATCTAATAAATAATATCTAAAGGCAAGAGTAGAAAACAAAACCTTACTCCAGCCTGGTGCAGTATATCCAAGTTTTTTTTTCAACATCTTAGTAAAATTTGTAGTTCCTTTGCTTACAAACAAATACTTCTTCACTCCCCTCTACACACATACACACACACATTCATACAAATTCATAAAATCCACACACTCTTTTAAAAATAGATTTTGGGTTCTGCACAGTATTGTTCGGGGTTTGCTCCTGGCTCTGTGCTCAGGGACACACACACATTAACAGTGAATGTTAGTCACCTGCTGACCAGAACCCAGGAACTACTTCCAGTGATTTAAGTTGACAGTTTAGTACAATTTTTCTTAGAAATTAAAACAAATAATAAAGCAAAAGACTATTTTGCATTTCAAGAACGAGACAAGCAAGGATTTGCACCACCTTACTGGCACTCTAATTGTTCATTCCCACCCATGCCTGGGTAGGAAGGTGGATGAGCTCTGATAGTCTCATTACTCCTTTTCCTCAAATGGGTGAAAAACTAGACTTATTAACTATTAAAGGTGAGAAGGTTTTCCTGCATTTCACTCAGACTCCCAGTTACCTTACCTGATTGAGTGTGTACACATAGACTTTTCCTTGTTCCTCCTTCTCTGTGCCCATGTACATGGGCGCTCCCACAAGAAGCACATCAGTGTAAGAATCTTTATCAATGTCGATGGTTGTTAAAACGCTGCCAAAGTAGGAGCCTATCTAGAATATAAAACCAGACAGTTTGATGAACACCGGAAATGGCAGGAAGCTAACGCCTACGTTTCTTTGTTCACACCAACTTAAAAGAATATTTGAGGTTCAGATGATAAAGGAATGGAAATACAGAAATGAATGTACCTATGGAGGCTCTTGGCTACTGTAGGAGGCGAATATAAACGAACTATCCAGGGCCTTCCTGGAGGATAAGCTGTTAGGGACTTTGTGCCTGAGCATAAGGGACGATCACCTTTAGATGTCACACTACGCTGTCTTCTCTACAAATCACAAAACATCAGTGATGATAGAATGATCTTATAATTTAATTTTTAAAATTTTTTAAATTTTTTAAATTTTATTGAATCACCGTGAGATAGTTACAAGCTTTCATGTTTGGGTTACAATCACAGAATGACCAAACACCCATCCCTCCACCAGTGCACATTCTCCACCACCAATATCCCCAATATACCCACCCTTTCCCACCCTCCCCCTGCCTCCATGACAGACATGATTCCCCATAATCTCTCTCTACTTTGGGGCATTATGGAGTGCAATACAGACCCTGAGAGGTTATCATGTTTGGTCCTTTATCTAGTTTCTGCACACATCTCCCATCACGACCGATTCCTCCAGCATCTTTTTCTTAGTGATCCCTTCTCTATTCCAGCTACCTGGGAGACCCTTTGCTCATGAGGCAGGCTTCCAGTTATGCAACAATCTATCTGTCCCGTGTATCTACCACTATCCTTAGGTGTCAGCCTCATGTTATGTTGTTTTATCCTCCACAAATCAGTATAGTCCTTCTATGTCTGTCCCTCTCTTTATGACTCATTTCACTTAGCATGATACTCTCCATGTCAATCCATTTATAAGCAAAGTTCATGACTTCATCTCTCCTGACAGCTGCATAGTATTCCACTGTTAGATGTACTAAAGTTTCTTTAACCAGTTGTCTGTTCTAGAGCACTTGGGTTGTTTCCAGATTTTGGCTATTGTGAACAGTGCTGCAATGAACATATAGGTACAGATGTCATTTCTACTGTGCTTTTTTGCATCCTTGGGAGATATGATGATTTTCTAAGGAAATAAGAGGATAAGTCATAGGATGCATTCCAGAGTGGACCTCAAACTGTTTAAATACATTAATGGAAAAATATGAAATAAAATATATTATGAGGATCTGAATTGTCTTGGAACGCTGGTGGAACACGTTTCAGTTCAGTCTTAAAAAACTCTCTGTCCAAGAGAATGGCTCTGACTTGTGTGCCAGTGACTGCTCAAGACAGAAAAACAATTACGGTCTCATGGTGGAGAGCATCCTCTTGCTCCAGTGATGCCATTTGTCGTTAAACGATGGGGATGAATTGTAGAGAAATCCAAGGGACTTACATATCATTATGGAAATGCAATCTCTTTCTCAAATATTTGTCTAAGTTCCCTATCTGAAGCTTTTAACAATTACCTTCTTGAAATGTTCTGACCTTACTTCCAAGATTTTATTAGTTTCTTTATATTGGTTTTGGGGCCACGCCCAGAGGTGTGAGGGCTCACTCCTGGCTTTGTGCTCTGGGATCACTCCAGGATCATGTGTGCTACCACGTATGAGTGATCAGATGTGGTACTGGCATTAGAATACTGATTGGATGTGTGCACAGCAAATGTCTCACCACGGTCTCCCTTGGTTTTATTTTTGCTTGCCGGATTCTGCCATTCAAAGACAATTTCTTTTCATTTTGCTGCCTGAGTTCCCTTCTTTCATTCCCTACATTATGGCCTCCCCTTAGCTGAGATTTGCATTTCCTTCCTATTCTCTTATTCTATAGCCAGTGATACCCAAATGTGGCCCTTATTTCTTTTTTTTTTTTTTTTTTATTTATTTATTGAATCACTGTGGGAAAGGTTACAAAGCTTTCAGGTTTATGTCTCAGTCATGCAAATATCAAACACATTTCCCTTTACCAATACTTATTTTTTCCCATGAAGAACCCCAATAAAACCCCACCCCCCACCCCTCCCCGTCCCTGTGAGGCAGATGAATTCTAGTTAACACTCTATCCGCTTTGATTAGATTGTTTCAATAAAAGATTCACCACTATTATTTAGAGTTCCCCCCCCCCCAAATCAGACATGCTGAAAAAGCATTGTGAAGTGATTTGCTTTCTACAGCTGGGTTCAAGAATTAAATGTTGGTTTTGGATTTCTGCTATTTTACCTATTGACCCTGGAAGTATTTCTACTGAAAGTCAGATAGTTAAGAAATTGGTTTCTGTGTTCTGGAGTCGTGGCCGTGCTGGAGAGCCGCTCGTGGGGGGCAACTGGTGGCCTCGGTAGGGCGTGAAGGGCGGAGCGAAACGCCCCCCTTCCCATGAGGTTTTAGTCGCCCCCACACTCCCGGCTCATACCTGCTGTCCACAAGGCTCCCATGTGGCTGCCATCTTTCTTTCCAGAGAGGAGAGGGCGAATGGGGCAACACCCTTTCCCCTCCGGCAGACTTGATAGCCTGGATCAATGCATAGTCCGTTCACTTTTCTGCTCCAAGCTGCTGGGTTCTGCATTAAGTCCTTGTGCTTCTGGGGTGGCCCTTATTTCTAATGAAAATTTTATTCTAACTCCCTTCTCAAGCTCCAAATCTTTATTTTTTAGCATTGTTAGACATTGAGACAATTTCTAGACAATGATTTTTGAACATTCTTTTCTTACAGGCTTATTAAAGGTGATTTTTTTTCTAAAAGAAAAAAATCCAAATCTGGAAACATAGGGTCGGATGCCCACATTGCAGTAGTGGCCTAGAGCTGATCTAGACCTTTAAATGTCTAATGGATCCCACCAGATGGTGTGCAAGATCTAAAGGAAAAATTCCACCTGCCTCTATAGTTTCTAATCAGAAACTGTTTTTTTTCTTATTGTTCTTTATACTTATCTACATCATGATTTTCCTTCTTGTCTTTCCCAAATTCTATCTTATAATTATTTCTGTACAATCTAGGTTAAAACTGCTCTTTTATGAATTTACGATTTGTGCCCCTGACACTTCCATGTCTCTTAATGTTTGCATTTTCTTTTCATATATAGAAATACATGCATTTTATATCTGAATTTACATCTATTATTATACATCCCGTACTTCCATCCAAGTATGAGTGTTCCTGAATACAAACCTAGGGACGCTTTTTATCCCTCCAAGAAAATTTTTTTTTTACCAGTCTAAGACCACAGACAGGTCAATTGAGGCTTACATAGAGGCTGAATGGATTCACTGAAAGCAGTGCTCAAGCTTACCTGTTCTCCACGTAGTGTTTGAAGAATTCTTATGTCTCCGCCTTCCATTGTGTAGACAACCACCTGGCCTGTGTGGTTGTACCGTGGTTGTCCCGCAATATAGATCACACCGCCAAAAACAGTGGCAGAGTTCACCGTGTAACCTAAGAAAAGAGAGAGGGCCAATTCAGTGCAATTTAGAATAAATTAAGATGTGCTTTAAATGATTTAGAACATCAAAAAATTTCTTTTTATACTGAAGTTAGTTTTGAAAGTAAAAAAATAACTTCCTGATTCGGGAAATTTTGTTGAATAGAAACTTTTCATATGCTCTATGATGATCTACTATAATAGCTTTGTTTTGGGGCCACACTCAGTGATGCTCAGGGCTTACTCCTAGCCCTGAGCCCAGGGGTCACTCCTGGTGGGGCTCAGGGGACCATATGGGGTGCTGTGGATTGAATCTGCATTGGCTGTGTGCAAGACAATCTACCTGCTTTACTATCAGCTTTTCCCTGAAGAAGTACGGTATTTATTTCCCCAACCTTTCCTTTGGTTATTTTTTCATGTTAATTGTTTTTATAATAATAACAAAATAGCAAAATATCCCAAGCATCGCTTATAATCCCCATTCATCATTTTGTAACTTGCATCCATCACTAGGCTATATAAAAGAGAAATGAAGTTGGGAGCGTAATAAATATAAAACTATCCTGTGCTATGACCCGGGTTTTAAATTGTAATTTTATTTTATTTATTTATTTATTTATTTATTTTTGCTTTTTGGGTCACACCCGGCGATGCACAGGGGTTACTTCTGGCTCTACACTCAGGAATTACTCCTGGTGGTGCTCGGGGGACCATATGGGATGCTGGGAATCGAACCCAGGTCAGCCGCATGCAAGGCAAATTCCCTACCCGCTGTGCTATCGCTCCAGCCCCCAAATTGTAATTTTAAATGATTAGATGTTATTTCTCTAAGTTAAGGCACAAAGACATTGTGTATACTATAGGCAAACCATATGCATTTTATATACTTTTAATGAAATGACAGAATCGAGGTGGCTCTTTTGTGTTCATTTTGCTTTGATTTTATTTTGGACCATGCCTGGTGATATTCAGGGTTTACTCCTGGATTTATGCTGAGGCATCACTCCTGGTGGGCTGAGCAGACCATATGCAGTGCTGGGGACTGAACCTGGGTGAGCTGTATGCCAGGCAAGTAAGTATCTTACCAACTGGGCCATCTCTCCAGTACCTGGTGGTTTTTATTATTTACTTATTTTAGTTTGGAGACCACATTTGACTATGCTCAGGGCTTACTCCTGCCCCTGCGCTCGGGGATTAAATCCTGGCAGGGCTCTGAGAACTGTATGTAATGTCAGGGATGGAATCCACATTAGGTGCGGGCAAGGCAAGCATCCTACCCACTGTACTATCACTCCACTTCAATCCGCCCCCCTATGGTTTTAACCTTTTGATATTACAAGAAGTTAATTATTAAAAGCATCAAATAGGGATCTCAATTGATTGTGTTTAGATAATGAAGTGAAGATCTCCGGATTTCCCTAAAATGCATCCCCATCCCAAATTGCACTGCTGCAAGGGATGCTTACCATGGCAACACCTTCCTGTTTTATTTTTTATCTCCAGCAGTTGATGAAGCAAGATAGCCATCCAGTTGATTAGAGACTCTTCTAAATCTATATGCTTAAATGTGCTTTACTAGTTTTCAAAGACAATTTAGCTCCTCATAATGTGTTCATTTCCTTATGTTCACAGTACTGCTTTTAAGCAATATGAATTCATTTCAGAATGCTGCTTATTATTTATCAAATTTTATTTTCTTAAAAAACTGCAGCATAGTTGATGTTTTATGATTGTAGAAAAGATATAATTTGGCATTTCATATTTTTATTTGAATGTTTTGAAGATAATTTTTAAAGAAAATGTTGCTGGATCACATTTTTCATGCTTATTCTAAAGATATCTGGAAAATTGTTTCCAAAACATTTGTACTAATTTATGCTGCATATGAACATATGAAACACCCATTTAATCAAACTCTACCAAACACTGGATTTTACTCATACTATTTACATTTATGGATTTATAGGTGTTAGATATAATCTGACGGTACCTTGATAAGATTTCCATTTGTCTGATTAAATGTGAGTTTGACTAAGTGTTCATATTTGTTCATTTTAAAGACTGTATTCTATGCTATTTAATTTTTAATTGTCTGTAAAACACATTATCATTATTATATTTTGTTATTATTAATTGTGGTATGGGGCTGGAGCGATAGCACAGCGGTAGGGTGTTTGCCTTACAAGCAGCCAACATGGCCGACCCGAGTTCGATTCCTCTGCCCCTCTCAGAGAGCCCATCAAGCTACCGAGAGTATCTCGCTCACACGGCAAAGCCTGGCAAGCTACCCGTGACGTATTCGGTATGCCAAACACAGTAACAACAAGTCTCATGACGGAGACGTTACTGGGCCCGCTCAAGCAAATCGATGAACAATTGTGGTATGAAGTATTAATTTTATCCTTTGTGTCTCTAGACATCAGAGCTAAATCACTGAATAAAAATGACTGCACACCAATTTCAACTCTGTAGAAAAAAATAAAATTGTTCTTATAACCAGAGTTGCCCATCAGTGGAGGAGAAGACAGATTATTTTTCAAAATATCACAAATAGTATTTTTAATGGAAAAAGATTATATTAATATTTGCTTACCAATTTTTTTATTAAGATTCGACTTCTATATTTTTAGAAAATAAACAGATTTTTGTAGCAAGATGTATTTTTAGAAATGCTAAAAGAACACAGTTCTTCATGCATAATTTTTGTGAACATTTTTACAATCTCATTTTTTCATTTTACTGTGCTTAAAAATATGCATGAGACCCAAAAAATCATCTTTGTCAAGTGTTCTATGTGTTATACTTTTATGTTACAAGTTATAATGTTGCTTAAAGATCCTTTAGGGTCATGCTTAAGGAAGATGAAAAAGGAGAATATGCAAAACAAAAGCTGTTTTATTTCCTTTCTCCTGAAAAATAGTAAGAACAGAGAGAGATTGGTGTATTTATAACGTTACTTTGTTTTGTAGTTTTCAGAGTTACAAATGCAGATTGATAAAAGAAACTTTAAAAAATAAATTGAAAATTATATCTAGGTTTGGGATTATGTGACTGCTTAGTTAACTCACTGATGAATTGTCTTTGGTAACTAGAACTTTGAGCTGAGATTATTACACAGGTAATAACCAGACAGAGATTTTACAGACAATAGAGGAAGATAGAAAGAAGGCCAAAAAATTAAAATTTATAATAAATAATTATAAACCTTTAAGCTGAACATTGCTTTTTGCAAAAAGAAAAGCACAAAATGGAGGAGAAAGATAAATTGATAGTGTACTCTTATGATTTGTGCATGGATTTAGGAAGAACAAATCTTGTCAGCTCTCATAATTTCCCTTTTAGGTAAGAATTAGGTAATAGGGGAACAGGTCTGATCAGTCTACTTTCCACAGCTTTGGATCATATATTTGTTTTTCCTTTTGGATTTGTCTAGCATAATTAGAAATCAGAAAATTCAAGGTGAAAGAGGCAAGGAACAGAATCTGTATTCTCACCATAAAAATTCCTCACTAAGCTTATATTGATATAAGGATATTTGTGTGTGTCTACGTATGTATGTGTGTGTGTTCACATCTGGATAGATTACTTATTAATATAGGATTTTACTTGGAGGGGAGGCAACCCTGGCATTAACTCAGGGCTTACTCCTAGATCTGCACTAAGGGATCATTGCTGGTGGAATCAGAAGACTCCATGGAGTGCCAGGGATCAAACCTAGGCTGGCCACATTCAAGGTAAGTTCCTACCCATTGTGCTATTGCTCCAGTCCCTAGTATGGGATATTTTTAATGGACCATATACGTTGAAGAATTCTTCCTCCATAGGATTTTTCCATAGTCTAACTACTTGCAGTCCACATGAAAGTGAGGTAAACATACCCAAGCTCTTCTTCATTGATAATACAAACAAGGAAACATTCTGAAAGCCTCACATCAGATTCATAATAAATTTAAGTTTATTTATATTAGGGGTAGGGGAGTAAGGATTTTTTTCCTAGCCCCAATTCTGGTCATTCTTCTATTCTGGGAGCTATTTTTCAATATTATACTTTATTTTGGCAAAATTTCTTAGATACTAACCTGTGACTATTCTGACAAAATTATTTCTGACATAGTAAAAACATCATCTCTGCATATAGTGGACAACACAGTCCAAATTTTCCTTTCCTGAAGAGAGAGGAGGAGTCATATATCATAAATACACTGGTCAAGAATGAAGTTAGTTTTTTTCTAGCAATGATATCTTAAAATCTCTGTCTCCTTCAGGGAAACATTAACTCAAGGTTTGGGAGAATAATAGAATTGTTCCAGACTTTTTGTTTTCAAGGAATGTAATCACATAATGAGATCTTAGGAAATCAAATGTATGGCAGTTATTAATTGAACTGTTTGAAATTTCTAAGAGTAGCAACAATGTCTGACACTTCTTTGTAACTTCAGTGTCTTTGATATTGGAAAAAACTCAGTTCTAACTAGTAATAATATCAATGTCAGTTACTTTTGGTATTCCAATATATAACATACTTTTTAATTAGCTCTTTATTATTCTAATATAGTGCCACAAACTTATTGTATCACAAGTTTATAAGAGTAGGAGACTTAGAAGTCTCACATGTGTTTCTCTGGGATAAAATCACCATGATATGGCAAGGTTTCCTTCTGTAAGATCTAGGTGAATTGCTCTTCTTTCTCTTCGTGGCTTCTAGGGAAAGCTAGTATTCCTTGGCTTATGCCACTATCTGTCCCCTCCCATGCTCCCTCTACCCCCCTGACCCCCCTTTCATCCTCAAAGTTACAACATAGACTCTCCTGAGTCATTTTTATGTCAATACATCTTTTTTTTCTAACTATATCCAGGAGAAGTTCACCAATAATAAGAAGCTATGGTGTTAGGTTGGACCTAGCCAAGCACACAATCTCTTATCTCAAGGTCCTTAGCCTAATCACCTCCACAATCTGCAAAGTCCTTTTTGCCACATAAGGCTTGGGTCTGGGGAATTGAACATGGACCTTGTATTACAGCTGCCATATCTGACTAAGAGTTTTATTATGTAACCCGTATAATAATAATAATAATAAATAATAATAATAATAATAAAAGATAACATCTACTGAGTGTTGATTTCCAGGTACAACAATACTAAGTGACTTACAAGATATTATTTAATATTCATAGCAAAACTCCAAATTTATATATATATGTATATATATCTATATGGATAAGTGAAACTTCTGGATCCATGTGGTGTGAACATTTTCAGGTTTTTGTATGCATTTGGTCAAGTGACTTCCCTAAGGAGTTGTATAATTTACATGCAGGCATGAGGCATGGAGGGAAGGGAGGTTTATATAAGTTTTTGACCTAGGACTGAAGAAAGACCAAGCTTACATTGGTTATTTACTCTAAAATATTCCCTCTAAAACAGTTTCATAGAACTTCAGAAAGTGAAGAAATTTCAGAAGTTGTCTAATCTAGCTTCCTCTAATTTTAGGTTTTCTAAGTCATTGCACATAAAATGATAATGATTTCTTAGTTTACAAAAAAAGCAAGCATTTTTTGTAAGTTTCATTTTTACAAAAAAAGCAAGCTTTATCAGTGGAGGAAGTTAAAAAAATTATTTCTGGTTATTTAATTTGTGGATGGATGGATTGACTGAATGACCAATTGGTAAACTCATTGTACAACTGGGTAAGTGCTTCCCTGATCAATCCATAATCAGGCATTTTGGAATGGTGAAATGAACATTAGGATGAAAATTATGAGACCTGAATTCTAGTTTAAGATTTGTTATGGCATGGGTAGCTGTGACAAAAATTTCCCATTCCTTAATTTGTTATTTTGGAAAGTTACCTCTTTGACTATATATACTCTAAGATTATTTTTAATGTAGAAACTCAATATGAATCTGAATCTCAACACCTTTGTTTTACCTTATAATATAAAAAATATTTAAAAGACACAAAGTGTAAATTTTTATTTCTAGGCATCAATTTCGTCAAGTTTTGGGGGTGAAAGGGCTGGTACAGGGAATTATTTTCTGATCTGTATGCCTTAGTTAATCTTTTCCTGCCAATCATGGTTCATATTTTCTTTTGTATTACATAATGTTTAGAACAATAACATATGTTAGCTGCTATTTTCACAGAGCAGAATGCAATAGACTTCTTATGAAGAGATTTTCTTTGACACAGTTCCACATGTCTTAAGGGATTTTAACACTTGCTGCTAACCATTAAATATTTCATTATTTTAAAAATCCAGGCTATTTATTTTTCTTAAGTCCTGCTGCTGAGCAGCTTTAATGTATGCCTTTGCATGAGGTGCTAAATGGACCTACCTGTGAAAACCTGCCACCTTTCCTATAAAATTCAAAGAAATTGGGACACATAGAGTCGAAGATATGCCTCCTGGCAGAAATATGCCAGCAAGGAATGCTTTGGTGCTCAACTATGAATACTGAGAGGTATTTGTTTTCTTCATCACTACATTCCCAGAACCAAGAGCACTGCATGGGACTAGAGAGATCCTAGATTTTTGTGGAATGAGAAAAGAGCAGAGAAATCACAGTCCTAGGCCCTCTCAGCTGTTTACTGAGACCAGCTAGAGATAGGGAAGCCCCTGGGACCCTGGGCAACTCCCAATCTGGTAAAACTCCAGAAAAAGGCGGTGAGAGCAGCACATCTTTCCTGTGCCAAGCAAGTTTCTGGACATTGATTGGGTTTAAGTTCAGTATTTGTCAGACTGTGATTAGAGATGATGCTTAGGCACTATGAATGGAAAACATCTATTTTATATAATTTGGACCCATAGGAAGAAAGTAATAGGAGAGAGAATTATTTGAGGGCACTTGGGAGTTGGATCTTCAGGATATAGGCTGAGCCAGGATTTCTTTTTCTACCATCATTTTCTGTGTACTGACTGTGAAGCTCCTCTTGAAATTAAAGAGAATTTCAGATACAGAGCGCCCTCAAAGTTCTGGTTTCAAGGCCTAAGCTATTCCTCATATCTCAGCTCGTTTGAGAAAGAACAGTTTCCTTCTTCTGTTATTTTAACTAAGGCTTCCCTGAGATGGGAAACTTGGCTTTTTTGTTTGTTTAGGTTTTATATGTTGCTGTTTGGGGCCCATACCCCTAATTCTCAGGATTTACTCCTGGCTCTCCTTTCAGTGATCACTTCTGGCAGTGCTTTAGGGACCATATAGATTGTTGGAGATTGAAACTGGGCTGGCTAGACAAGACAAGACTAGAGCCCTGCCTGCTGTACTACTTTGGCCTGAAACTGGAAGCCTGCATGGGTTCTGTAAAATGCCTAACTCTTAGAAGTGGTCTCTCTTACATAGCGGCAAGTAAGTCTATACAAATATAAGAAATAATGGTAAGTAATATATTTTTTAAAACACATATAGGAAATCCATGAACTTTCTATCAATCTCATTTAAACATTACCTAAATAAGAAGCAAGAGGTTCATTCTTTGTGGTGGACTCAAGATTAAAGGTGTTGTTTTGTGGGATTATGATTTGATCAGCCTTCTGCATGACGACTGTTCCATTCCAATCATAGGCTCCTACTGCTCCAAGCATGACCCAATCCTTGTATCCACATAGAGAATATAAAGATATGTAAGAAAAATAGTAAAAACACACAGAATTGACAATATGAGACATAACATTAAAAGTGCTTTACATAAATTAGCTTAGATAATCCTCTTTGGATAAGCGCCAGTATTATCATTCCCACTTTTTACAGAAGAAAAAAGTGAGGCAGAGCAAGCACGTTGCCCTCCTTTAGACAGTACAAACGCACGTTGAAATGTCAATGTTCTTTCCCAGGGATAATTCAACTATTTTTTTATATCAAGTATAAATTTTATGTTTTCCAATTTTGCCTTACTTCTTTAGCCTGGGTACTAAGAAATTTAGATCTTACATTTGGGATTCTAGCCAAGACTCTTGAATACCTTTATAGTGACAAAAATATACATTCCAAATCTTCTTTGTCTTTTATCTCCCTCAAAACAGGATCCTCAGGTATTGGGGCTCTCAGGATTGTCTCAGTACATATCACTGGGGTTAGAATTTGTGGCTTTGGTTGCTCGAGCGGGCCCAGTAACGTCTCCATTGGAGACTTTGTTGTTACTGTGCTTGGCATATCGAATACATCACGGGGAGCTTGCCAGGCTCTGCTGTGCAGGCGAGATACTCTCGGTAGCTTGCTGGGCTCTCCGAGAGGGGCGGAGGAATCGAACTCGGGTCGACCATGTTGGCTGCGTGCAAGGCAAACGCCCTACCGCTGTGCTGGTTATCAGCACATATCTTAAAGTTACTCCCCAACCCCCAAGCCATTGTCTTGGTCCCTGAAGACCAATTCATTAACAAACATTTTAAATAATTTTGTTTAGCCAGATACATAATTATAGTACCAGATCCCAAATTACTTGATTCACAATTATTGGTACAAAGCACTGAGCTTGGTAAGACACAGGCTTTTTGAAAAAGAAGTTTGTGAAATGCCTTTTTTATTATATTGGCTAGAATTCCCATCATGGTGTGAATGAATTAGCCATTTTTCTGCTAGATGCATTTGCAATATTTATGCATGTTACATTACTACATTAGTGTGATACACTGGTGTTAGTGTGAGGAGATGAAATCTCATTTTCACCTACTGGTCACATACCTGTGAATAATGAGCACTGAAGCCTGTCTGTGACATTTCCATTTCAAATGAAGCTGCTGACTGGTCAGTTGTGGCTGTAAGAAAGGGGGAGGAAGCTTTCAGGACACTGTTGATATGCCAAGTATCAGCAAGTTAGTCCAAGTTCTAACCCAAAGTTCTAACATCATTAGGACATTTTCATTCATGAATTTCTCAACTCAGAATTCTTAGGTAGGGCTGGGAAGAGGCTGGACACAGCTGGAAGGCTCTGCCTTATGTTCCTGACCATGGGTTTACCAGCAGAGAGAATTCTCTCTTCAGGCCCCATCCTTTTTTTTCCCTCCCACACTTATTTATTTTTCAATTGAATCACAGTGACATACATGATTAGATTTCAGTCATATAATGTTCCAACACCCATCCCTTCACCATTGTACTTTTCCCACCACCAATGGTCCCAGTTTCCTTCCAGCCCCCCTACCCCCTCCACCCTGTCTGACCACCTGCCACGATGGCGGGCACCTTCCTTCCTTCCTTCCTTCCTTCCTTCCTTCCTTCCTTCCTTCCTTCCTTCCTTCCTTCCTTCCTTCCTTTCTTCCTTCCTTCCTTCCTCCCTCCCTCCCTCCCTCCCTCCCTCCCTCCCTCCCTCCCTCCCTCTTCTCTTTCTTTCTCTCTCTCTCTCTCTCTCTCTCTCTCTCTCTCTCTCTCTCTCTCTCTCTCTCTCCTTTTGCAGCCCACATCCTTATACTGAGCATGCAGCGGGATCCTAGGGTGTTTTTGCATACAGGGAATTAGAGTTGAAAGTTCTGTGGTAGCAAAGCTCCATCACATCTGCACATCCTGGGAATCCTGCTGGACTTCAGGCTACTCTTAACCTGATGTCTTACAGGATTTATTTAAAACAAATTGTGTACATATTGAAAAGGCTTCTTTACCCTACTAGCCCCACTCAGCTGTAAGCTTGCAGGATCCCACTGTTGTAGAGATTCTAAGTTTGTATTAGCTTTGCTTTCTGGTTGTTTCACTCACAGATCATAAAGCAACTTTTAGACAACGCACCAGGTCCCACATCACTCAATCACTTGTATTTATTCATTTATTTTTAGGATCCGGCACCCATTTAAAATACGTAATTACTCCACTAAAATGCAGGGTTAATCCAGAGCATTCTAGAAAAATGTGCTAATTTCAAAATATTCACCAAGCCCCAAACCACAGCATCCTGAGGGGATTGAGGGAATGTTGATTTATTTGCTTTCAGTAGGGAGTGACTGACTTATTTGGCCCTGCAGATAAGTTAAAAATAGCACATAATTTTGAGAAAGTCGGTCTGTCCTTTCATTGAGGCATGAGAACAATTACATTTGTGAAATCAAATTTATTTACTAGTTATTTACTGGTATAAATTTGCTACAAATGCACCAATAATTGCCTTTTATGGGAGTGGATCAATGGGCAATCAGTCAAGAATTCAAATATATCATTTTAATCTCACCTACAAATTTCCATCTCATTTAAATAACTGAGAGGCACTTCAATATAAACATTCATTGTCAGTCTACAAAGCTTTAAAGGTGCTTTCCATTTAATTTTTGCAAGATTAATGATAAGAATGCAGCAGCTATACCCCGCCTACTTCAAGCAACTCCTCTTGCTGTTCTGCTTCTAGCTTTCCAGCTGAGAACAGCAAAAGAAGGAAGCTTGCTGGCCTTGTTGAATTATTACCAAGTATTATTAACACATTGTACATCTCTGAACTTCTTATAGTCAACTTCTCTCTGAACTCTTCATGGGTGTTGAGAAAATACTAAACACTGAGACGCTTCTGCTTAGGAATTTTAGTCTCGTGCTTGATGGGAAAAGGAGATAACAGACTATTTTTTGACTTTTGTTTGTTCATATTTTCACCATACCAGGATGTACTGCAGACTCTTAAATTCAAGGGACTTTATGTGCTGCTGAGGATAAAACCTAGGCTAGCTATATGTAAGTAAGTGCCTTAACATCTGTATTATCTCTCCTGTCAACCCATTTTTTAAATTTTAATGGGCAAGTTGCTGGCATATCTGCCTCACGCTAGTGGCACTGCCCTGGCACAACTCTCATAATTGCTTTGATTTATTATCTAAATAAATGTTGACAAAAATGGAGGTTGGACAAGGAACAAGAAAATAGTCTGTTTCTGATCTCATAGTTGTAAAAAAAAATTAGGCTAGTCAAAACACTTCTTTTGGTTAGTCCTGAAAGTATAGCAATAAAGGTGCTGAAAACATTTTCAATCTGTGGCGTTATTATAAAATACTTTTCTTTTTAAAATTAGTGACTTCTTGGAGTGTGGAGGAACTTCAATATATAAGCCTTACTCATTGTGTAATTAGGTTAAAAAAAGATCTGCAAATGTTATTTAAGGTCAACTTATCCCTCTTCCAGCCAACTGTTGATGTAGACTCATTTCTACAAGTCTTAAGTTATACTTCCTTAGGGTAAGATTAAGAAATGAGACTGTATAATCTTGAACCAAATGTAAATTTTAAGTGATACTTATAGATTATTTCTATCATAGTTACACAACTTTATTAGAAACTGAAACTGCACAATGACTTGGAAAACCTAATAGATTTTCTTCTTGCCAACTAATTCCATGGTCTGACCTAATGGTAAATGACATTGGATAGCTGAAGAGATGACTTATACACAGAAATCTGGACAGCCAAATACTTCCCAAGCAGCTGTGACTTTAGCTTGATAAACAACAACTGTTCTGTATCTAAAGGCATGGGGAAAAGAAGTCAGTGCCTAGGTAAAAGGGAACCAGAAGAAATATTCTGGAAGGGCTATGACTTTCCAATACCTTTAATAGAATTTCTTACCTATAGGTTTTTACCTGTCATGACATGAGCAGGATGAGACAGACTACACACACACACACACACACACACACACACACACACACACACACACACACATACACACACAAACACACACACACACACACTATATAAATTTATCTGTCACTGTCACTGTCCTCCCGTTGTTCATCGATTTGCTTGAGTGGGCCCAGTAACGTCTCCATTGGAGACTTTGTTGTTACTGTGTTTGGCATATCGAATACATCACGGGGAGCTTGCCAGGCTCTGCCGTGCGGGCGAGATACTCTCGGTAGCTTGCCGGACTCTCCGAGAGGGGCGGAGGAATCGAACTCGGGTTGGCCATGTTGGCTGCATGCAAGGCAAATGCCCTACCGCTGTGCTATAGCTCCAGCCCATATAAATTTATATTATATATATAATATTATTGGGTTGGGCTGGAGTGATAGCACAGTGGGTAGGATGTTTGCCTTGTACGAGGTCGACCTGGCCGATCCAGGTTCGATTCCTCCACCCCTCTCGGAGAGCCTGGCAAGCTACCAAGAGTATCTTGCCCACACGGCAAAGCCTGGCAAGCTACCCCTGATGTATTCGATATGCCGAATACTGTAACAAGTGTCACAGTGGAGACATTACTGGGCCCGCTCGAGCAAATCGATGAACAATGGGAGGACAGTGACAGTGACAGATTATTGGGCTGGAACGATAGCACAGAGGGTAGGGCATTTGCCTTGCATGTGTCTGACCCAGATTTGATTCCTCTCTCCCTCTCAGAGAGCCCGGCAAGCTACTGAGAATATCCTGCCCGCATGGCAAAGCCTGGCAAGTTCCCCATGGCGTAATCGATATGCCAAAAACAGTAACAACAAGTATCACAATGGAGACATTACTGGTGCACACTCAAGCAAATCGATGAACAATGGGAGGACAGTGCTATATAATATAATGCATAATATTTTTCATGGCAGAGTCTAGCAAGTTCCCCTCGGCATATTTGATATGCCAAAATCAGTAATTGAAAGAGCCTTCAATACTGTTTGCAAAATCTCAGGGCTGGGACGAATGGAGATGTTACTGGCACTCACTTGAGTAAATCGATGAACAATGGGATGACAGTGATACAGTGATATAGTGATATAATATTTGAAATATAACAAAGTAGAATGAAGAGATGAGAGTATATCATATTCAATAAGGGTTATTTTGTGAAAGATAACTTGACTTTCAATGTATACCTAACAGTATATTGGATCTCAAAGCAAATTATATTGATGATTGTTAATCACTCTTACAGACAGTTTGAAAGCCATTATTCTAAACTGGTTGCTTTCCTTTCTATTCACCTTTCTGCACTTTTCCTTGTCACGTGATAGTTAACAAAAACGATCTACCTTTCATTTTTTACTTCCAAGTATGTCTCTTTTCCCATTTTATCTTTATTTCCTATAATTAAGTGATATCACGAAGAGAACTAAGGAGATTTTAAGTGTCTCTGCTTAAGGAGCAAAAGTAGCAATCTGCCAATCTGTCTTCATAAGGGTTTAACCAACCAACTGGATTTGGATGGAGGACAAGGAGAGAATTCTCTGGTGGCTTTTTCTCTTTTTCTCCTCGGTCAAAAATAGAGCTATAGCCTCTGATCATCAATTTGCTCGAGCGGGCCCAGTAACGTCTCCATTGGAGACTTTGTTGTTACTGTGTCTGGCATATCGAATGCTCTCGGTAGCTTGCCGGGCTCTCCGAGAGGGGCGGAGGAATCGAACTCGGGTCGGCCATGTTGGCCGCGTGTAAGGCGAACGCCCTACCCGCTGTGCTATAGCCTCTGAGAATATGATTATCAAAGAACAAGGAGAAGGAGGCTGTGCCAATTTTATAGGCATAACAACTCTGAAAACATTTTTTATGTTATAAAAGATCTAGTTCCGTAGTAATTTGTTACTTGAAATCCTCTAAGACAGAGAAGGGGGATGCTACGATTCATTATTCCCAGTTGCTGGTCACCATTCCAAGAGAAAAAAATATATGTGGAACAATAACTTGACTTAATCAGATATAGATGGACTTGGACTGTGCTTCGCTACCATGGGATTTGAAGCCGTTTTTCTTTTCATGAAGATCTTTAAAATAAAGAGCAAAGAACTAACTTGGGAGAAAATATATTAACAAAGAATGACTGCAGGGTCAGAGACATAGTGCAGTGGGTAGGGTGCTTGTCATGCAAGCGGCTGACCCTGATTCGATCCCTGACATCCCATGTGGTCCCCTGAGCCCACCAGAAATAGTTCCTGAGTGCGTGGCCAGGAATAAGTCCTGAGCACTTCCAGGTATGGCCAGAAAATCAAAACAAGAACAACAAAAAAGAAACAAGTGAGTAGGATGATTTCTGTAGAAGCCCCAAATGAACAGACTTGACAAAAACACGATCTTGTTTCTCCATTTCCATACCTGGGACACAGTAAAGCAACCCAGGTTTATTCTCGCATTGTCTGCACTGATGCTTCCTCCTGCTCTCTGCTGGTCCTGCTGTGCCTTTACTGAGAAAGTTTCCAGGGACATATTGCTAGGTGGAAAAGCTCTCTCAATAAGAGGCTGAGATGAAAGGGCATTGTTTTCCTGCTGGTGACTTTATAGAGTAAAAATGCTCTAGTCTAGGAATAAATATGAAACCCCCTTCACATTGGGTTTGAATTGTAGGAGAACATCTAGGCTTAGGAAAAAGATTCATACCTTCCAGGGCAAATATTCTTTCTCCCAGAGCTTCAACAATAGTGACTAGAGCCGCTTCATCAGAGACGTTGAAGAAATGCTTTTCAGTGGGTTCACTTGCAATTGATTTTATTTCCTCCACAAATTTTTCTGTGCTTAAATTTCCTCGGTTATAGCTGCCAAGAATCTAAGACACAACAAAAACAGCAAGGATCTATTTTAAATTCAATGTGTTAAATAAGGATCTCAAACATTTTGTCAAAAAAACCAGAAAATGTGTAGTACCTTAGCATACTGTACTGTTTATGTTCTCTTCACACTTTAGAAGAGTGATTTTCAGAGTATGCAGATTTCCTAGTATTAACTGTTATATTGCCTCACACCAGGCTCTGGGGCGGGTGAGAGTCCTCACCACCCCAAGGGACCCAGCCCCAGCAGCCAACCTCCACTGCTCAACCACCACCACACTCCAGAATGCTTTTTAGACCTTGAGGCCATGCAACACATTATAAGACACTTTCTAGCTATTTATGCCTCTTGGAGAGCCCAGCAAGCTACTGAGAGTATCCTGCCCTCATGGGCAGAGCCTGGCAAGCTCCCCATGGTTTATTCAATACGCCAAATACAGTAACAACGATAGTTCTCATTCCCCTGACCTTGAAAGAGCCTCCAGTTGTTGGGAAAAGACGTGTAAGAAGAGGCTGCCAAAAATCTCAGGACTGGGAGGAATAGAGACTTTACTGGCACCCGCTCGAGTAATTCGATGCTTAAGGAGATGACAGTGACAGTGACTGTTATATACTATAATGGGTGCAGGGAAATAGAAAAGGCAGTCTTGTATATTTAGGAAAGTTTCTTCTCTTGCATTACTGTGTTGTTTATTAACAGTAACATCATTTCATTCAGACATTTCCAATGCAATTTTGAGTTTTTGATGTCTTTGGTACTATTCTAGCCAGTGGCCCCATTGTTTGCAGGCAAGATCAATTAGCAAGTGAGTTAACTGGTTTTAAATAAGTAATTCTTCCTAAAAATCTAAGGCGCAGTTCCACTTACAGTTTTAAAATATACATTGAGCTAAGTAAGTAGTAGTCTAATTTAGCAACAAAGAAAATAAATATTTGGTATATTCCAGTAACCAAATGCTCGTGATAGGGACTTTATGTTCTATAGAGAAAAGAAAGAGACAAAACTTACTGGTGATGGTTAACCATAATTATTTAGGTTAACTGATTTTACTTTACTTTTTAAAACAAGCTTAATTGAGATAGTTTATAGGTAATAAAACTAAGACGGGGCGACTAGAGAGATGGTATAGTGGGTAGGGCAATCCAGGTTCGATCTCCACATGCTTTAAGGTACCCCAAGCACTGCCAGAAGTAATTTCTGAGTGCAGAGTGAAGAGTGAACCCTGAACACTGTTGGATGTGGCCTTCCAAACAAAAACAAAAACAAACAATTAAGAAATATTCCTGTGTCAAGGGGGTGGCTCAGTGGCATACATACCTTAGCTGTTTCACAGCTCTGCTTTTGATCTCTGACACACATAAACACACAGTAAAACAAAACTCCAAAACATCAACTCATCTTTTTAGTCAGAAAATTCTATGAGTTTGAAAAACCAATGTGCTTACTATCACACTGAAGTATAGAATATTTCTACCACTCCCAAAGATTTCCTCTTCCCTCTGAATAGCCATTCCCCTTCAATCCAACCCCTGACAACCACTTATAAATTTCCACGTTGATACGTTTGCTTCTTTCAGTATGAAACCACAGAGTATTTGTGTCTGGCAAGCTTTTGTGTCTGGCTTCTTTCACTTTGCATAATAATTTGAAAGACACTCATGTTACCACGTATATCAAAAGCTCAGGCTTTTTCTACTGCTGAGTAGATCACCACTGTTTAGATACACCACAATGTTACTGCTAAGGACATCTGGGTTGTTCTTTTTTTCATGTGATTACAAGTGAAGTTGATGGAAATATCCATGCATAAGTGTTTTGACACATATGTTTTCTTTTCTCTTAAGAAAAGTCCTAGATGAGAGCACAGGATCCATAATGAGTATATGTTTAGAGAAATTGCCAGCTTTTACTTACTTACTTGACTTCTAGAGTGAGTTCCCTTTTGCCATTTTATCTTTCTACAATGTCTCCCAGTAAGAGCTGAGAGCTTCCATTTCTGTGCACCCTTGTCAATATTTGGTATTACCCTGAGCATCCCAGTGGGCCTTCTGGCACCCTTCTCTCTTGGTGTACCCCTTCTTGGCTCACTCTTTGCAGAACTGCAATTTCTTCTGGCCTGACAGTGCCTGGCTTCTACCTGTTCTTATATTAGACTCAGAACAGGAGATTGAAAAACTGGTATTTCTGTTAAGAAGCAAACACTTTTCACATGTAAAAAGTTAGGAAAAAAACCTAAAATGATTGGCTTACGTGTAGCTATTTGTGGCTTAGAGCATAGTTATTTGTATTGAAATACAGTATGGTGAGATCTAGGATGAATCAATACCACCTCCACATTTGAGTGATGATGATGGAAGAGGCAGTCAGGCAGTGCTGTGTGCTTCTTTCCAAGAGAAAAGGCAAAAAGGACGGAGGTAGGTTTAGTGTGTGGGGTGTTCTTGATTCTTCTCACTTGCTGGAGGAACCCAGAGGAAAGTGCTTTTGTCTGATTCGGAAGGCCCTTGTGTCGAGGGCATTTCCACCCTGCCCTGAGCTCTGAGACACTGCCCTGGTTTCTCAGTGTCCTCTCTAGTTTCCTAGCTCCTTTACTTCCGAGGTGTGAGGCCTCAGAACCTATGTCTATGGGTGGCTCTGAGTTTCTTCGAAGCAGTGGCCTCCTAAGGGAAACCACTGCAGACTCTCAGGCAACCAACTGTCACATGCTTTGGGCTATCTTTTTGCGACTGAACTTATTTCAGATATACATTGATACCAGGAAGAGACAAATCACACCAGAAAATAAGAAATTGCTGAACACTTGAACGGAACCATTGGTGCTTTTACTCACTCTTAATGATTGGATAGGGAGAGAGAATGAGTAGAAACTAAAGCAAAGAATTGTCCATTGAAGAAGGGGGAAAACCCAACGGTCAGTTGCTCTTATTCCATTGAACAGATCCTCTTGCCTATTTAAAAACAGTGATTGATGGTCCTTCTTATAAATGACTAGCTCCCAACATCTGGATGGACCTGCTCTGGAGTAAACCCAGAAATGTTGGCACTGAGTCTCCAAGTTCCAGAGTCTTTACTGCTTTCCTGGTGTCAGCTTTGGGAGCGAGCTACCAGGACCCTGTTCAACAGCACATTCTCCATCTTTCTTGAGATCGCTGGGCTCCTCTACTGTCAGCAGTTTCGCTAAACATAAACTTATTTCATATTCATACAAGTTCAGCAACACTGAAACCCTCAGAGATTGCACTGAATGATCTATCTTTTTTTTCATTTATAGACTATGGTGGAAATATGATATCCTGGGTTGAAGAATTACCATTCTTCCTCCTTGGGTCCTATAAGATTCTATTATATTTAATTCTCATTTCATTTATGATTCAAAACAGTTGCAAATACACACAAAAGTTATACAGACTTTAGTGCCGTGGGCGATTTACACAAGTTGCGCTATAAATGGCTTCAGACCTTTAGTGTATAATGTGACAGGAGAGAGGCAAATGGGTAAATCTCAGTGGCAAAAGTGCCCAAATGAGAGAATAAAATTAAACTGTATAAATGCAGGATAGGAGCAGAAACCTAGAAGACAATGAGTATAACAAAATCCCCAGGGATACTTTGACTTGCACACAGTTTTAAATTGTTTTGTGTCACAGAATAAATAAGAAAATAAAAAGAAATGTGTTTTGATCCTTCATCCAAGTGTCTGGTAGCTTAGAAACAGCCATTATTTTCTATGAATGAGAAGAGAAAATAATTTTATAAGTAAAGATAAATTATTTCTGTTTCACTTAATCCAAACATATCAAGCCCAGGCATTTGGTGTTTTGCTAATGTTTAGCTGAAATTGAGTTGAAACTCCCTTGAGACCGACAAAGCCTGTGATTACTTTGTATGCAGCACAGTGCCTTGTGTGTACAAATGATAGAAATTCTAAGGTACTTTGTAACTTCGCTTTTCATTTGAATGCTGTAGGTGACACATACTTTATAGACATTATAATCCCAGTCATTATCATTTGAGATTAGAATCTGAATGTAAAATGGGCCTCTTCTAGCAATGTCTATTATCCTCAGCTGACAGATCTGTGAGGGTAACTGGAAATGTCTACAGCTTTCTATCATGGTACATACATTTTCAATAGCCAGATTGTTTTGGAGTGTTGTCTCCTCTCAAACATATATTTATAATTTTCAGGATCAAAAGGATGGAGCAGAAGAAAGAGTCAAGGTAATAACTGGCTAGGTATATTTGATGATGTGAAGCATGGACAAACTTTCTGTATGAATGCACATGGAGAAGTTAAAAAAAATAAAATCTTATTCCCAATTTGGTACAAAATAAAAAATACAGTTTCCTTGGGAAAAGAAATGAGAATTCAGATAATAACAATTATTGAAGTGAATTTTTCCTGTGTTTTTACCACTTCAAAGAGCAAATTTCATTTATTTCTGTTCATTTGATTTTCTATAAACTCATTGATTAAACTGTGAAATAAAACTCAGGATCTTATGGTTTTTTCCAAGAAGATTAATGTATTAATTAATTAATTAATGAGATCTCCGTTTTGGTCAGATAAGAGGCAAAACAGAAACAATCAACTAGAGAGGCAACAAAGAAGAATATTCAGTAGTTATGGGAATGAAACTGTGAACATATAATCAGAGAAAAAGTAAAGATGATATAAAATGTATACAAGATTAATGTTATTGGTTGATTAATGTATTTTATATCTAGTCAAGTTTTTCTAATGCTGGCAAGGTGATGGTGGTGAATTTATCTTTGGGGATAAGAGAACAATGATAGATACCTTTCCTCTAAAGCTCAAGACACCCTCTGTAAATGATGAAGATGATGGTAATCATCATGATGGTGTTGTTGTTTTGGGGCCACACTTGGCATGCTCAGACTCACTCCTGGTGGTGTTCAGGGGACCATAACACATGCCACAAATCAAACCCAGGTCCACATGTACAAGACAAACGCCCCTCAAGGCACATTTTAAAAAATAGAAAGTCAGTTAGGAAGGCGAAGCTCACTCTTCAATCCTGTGTTCTCCCTTGAACACTTTGCTTTCTTGCTTGTCACTGTGTCTCTTTACTTGCTTGCTTACTCTTTCAAGTGTGTGTTCTCTCTTGAACACTTACTTCCTCTCTTCCCTGCTTTCCCTCCCCCCATCTTTCTAAGTAGGTTCCAATAAAAACTATCTTGATTCACCAAAAAGAAAAAACAAAAAGAAAAAGGAAGGCCAAACCCATCTGTTTGCTTCAGAAGCTGAGAACAAATTTTAGTGTCTAAAGCTGCAACACAGTTCATCTCTAAGACTCACCCCTGCCATAGCTCTAAAACATGACTATTTTATTATTTCCTGGCTGGAAAATCCTGGAGTTAAAAATATTTATAAATAATATTTATGTATGGTCTACTCTGCCATTGTGCTAGACAGTTTCTTAGTCTTTCTCTCACTGAACCTTTCTTGTCATGACAACAAATGTTTCTTCTAGAATCTCTGTTATGCAAAATAATTGGAAGCCCTTTGCTTCTTTATTAAAATTCACAGAACTATAATTCTAAAAATATTACTGATAAATTTAGGAGATATCATGAAGCATGATGTGATTTATCACCCTTTAAAACTATGAGATTATTAAGTAATTAGCAGGCAAAGTATATTGCTTTACCTGTCTTTATTTCTCTTTTTCATTCTTTAGTTTCTTCCTTCCCCCCTCTATCTCTCCTTCCTTTTTTTTTTAATAACGTGTCATTTTTTAAATTTTTTAATTTTTGGGGGGGTCACACCCAGCGATGCACAAGGGTTACTCCTGGCTCATGCACTCAGGAATCGCTCCTGGCAGTGCTTGGGGGACCATATGGGATGCTGGGAATCGAACCTGGGTTGGCTACGTGCAAGGCAAACGCCTACCCACTGTGCTATTACTCCAGCCCCCTCTATCTCTCCTTTCTGCTTTTACTTTCTTCTTTCTGCACTCTTCCATTCTGTTTTTTCTCCCTTCTCTTCTTCTCTCTCAATTTTAGTCCCTTTCTTATTGCATTCTTCCATTCTTTTTAACATATTGTTTCTATGCTTATCCTTGTTATCTTTCGCCTTTCCTTTCTTTCTTTCTTTCTTTCTTTCTTTCTTTCTTTCTTTCTCTCTTTCTTTCTTTCTTTCTTTCTCTTTCTTTCCATGACTGCTTGTTTGAGACTCTATTTGGCTTGGCATTAGTCTGAGCACTAATAACACACAAGGAGCAAGACCCATTTCCCCCACCCTTACAGAATTTACTCCAAATTGAGAGCTTTCTTCTTTTAACCTTATTTGTGTAATATTTTTGGGAGGTTGTTTTTTGGCCACAATCAATAGAACTCAGGGGTAACTCCTGGCTCTGCACTCAGGAATCACTCCTGGTAGTGCACAAGGGACCATATGAGATACAGGGGGTCAAACCCAGGTCAGTTGTATACAAAGCAAGTGCCTTATCCATGGTACTATTGCTCTGGCCCCATTTTGTAAAATAACCATGAGTTGCACATAGCTCTTCTCTTCATTGTGGGCTTTGAAAGTCCTCTCCAGCTCTGTACTTACAGCTATGGAAAAGCGTTGAATGTTTTCATCCTCACAGTCTTGGATAACCTTTTTAAGGCGGTGGTTGTCATGAGACTCTCCATCAGTCACAATTACCATGACTTTATTAACACCTCGTCGGGCACCACGGGCTACAGTGAAAGCCTCCTTTCTAAAATAGTTGCAAACAGAATAAAAGCAAGTCAAACACCATCCCAAAGTTATCAAAGTGATAAAAGTATGAAAACACCTACAACTCTAGGTAGCCCATGGCTTTCTCTCCAAGATGAATATCTGCAGGCATTGTTCAAGCTGGGAGGTATGATGCTGACCCTTTGTAAAAGATTTATATTTATTCCAGATGATGGAGAGGTCACTATTCTGCTAATCACCACATGTCCCAAATACAAAAGGCAGCAGGATTACATTCTTTGGCAGCTTCAAAGAGAGGGTGTGATGAGAGTAGACATCAGGTTTAAATAAGGTCAGTCTGAAAAATCTCTCTCAGCCACTCCTTTTTCTAGAAGCCCCTCTTCCCCCCCACCTTTTTTTGACTTGACAGGTACTTTTCCTTCTGCTTCGGTTGAAGCTTTGCTTTTCTCCAGGTATTCAGGGGACAGCTTGGAAATGATCATAGGGCTGACAAGGAAAATAGGAGAAAAGGAAATATCTGTGTGGTCTGAGAGTTTAACGGGTATGTGGGAAATTCAGACAGATGAATAAAAGACTTCAGAGGGCAAAGAACTGAGTCCATTAGGGGATGGGATTACAGGGAGCCAGGTGGGTTTGGAGAACCTATAAAAAAGTTCGGACTGAACTTGAGTTTAGCACACAGGCTGCCAGGAATGAGGGGTGGAGAAGAAAGGAGACCATAAAGAAAAAAAAAGCAGGGAATAGAGATATAGTACAGCAGGTAGGGTGGCTTAGCATGCATCTGACCCAAGTTTTATTCCTGGTAGCCCATATGCAGCCCTGAGCCTGCCAGGAGTGATTCCTGGGAGCAGAGCTAGAATTAAGTCCTGAGCACAGCCAGCTGTTGCTCCTTCAATCCCCCGTAATGCTATAACTGAACTGTAAAAAAGGAATTTTAACCTAAATGACCAAGGCTCTATGGAAAGAGATGAAATATAGGAAAACAGATCTCTGTTTTGTGTTTTACACACACACACACACACACACACACACACACATACACACACAGTCCTCTTTATTACCTCCTTTTACTTTCCTCTCTGAAGTCTTGGGAGAAAAGACTGTATTTTATTTAGGATAGAATCAATGAGTGGAGTTCATAACAGTGTATTTTAGATCTTGGTATAAAATCAGCATTTTTTTTGCTGAGTGGTTCATTTAACTATTTTAATTTCATACTGAAGATAAATGGCTGTAGTTTGAGGAATGTCAACATTTTTTCTCTCAAACTAATCTTATAAACAGTTTTCACAACATGTATTAGTTTATCATAGGGGCACAGTAAATGTATAATGTTGGTATCATGTGAACAGGAGGACAGCAGTCTGATGACATAAACAGAAAGGATTTTATCTGTGATCATTTTTCTTTTAAGAGGATATTGGGCAATCATGAGAAAATCATAATGATTTTGTTTTGTTTGTTGTGTACACCAGATTTTATACTGTATTTTTTAATTTGCCCAAAAACTTTCAGAAAAAGAGTATTTCAATTTTTAAAGGTGTGTATTGCTGCCCTCTATACATTGCAAACAGATTTTCTGACTTCTTCGTATGCTCCAGCAAAGGACAAAGCAGATGTTAAAGCTGGTTTTTAAATAAGTTTGGATATGGATGTCATATGAGATTCAAACATTTTTTACAGTTATAATTCCTAGAGAATCATTAAAATTTCTCAGCTCCCTCAAAGATCAAGTCCATCACTGTATGTATAAAATCCTGGGTTTGATCCCATGCAAGACACACACACACAATAAATAAATGAATAAATAAATGAATAAATAAATGAGCTCAAGGCAATAGCTGAATGAAAATCAGATAAAGGAGATGATTAAAATAATTTCTGGAAAAAAATTGGTAGCTCTCAGATTGTGTAGAGCAGGCTTTATATGAATAAATATACATATATGTGTATATATGTGTGTCTGTATGTGTATATGTGTTAAACATTTACATATAGATATAAGAGTAATCATTGGTCCTAAATATGACCCTTTTGTTTTAAATATATTGTGCAGTGAATTGCCCTTGATCTCCAGATATCGCCCTTCAGTGTCCTTTCTTTGAATTAAACATTGATGTCTCTGCATGCTTTTTTTTTTTTGTTTGTTTGTTTTTTTCCCCCCTTTATTTTATTTTATTTTTTTTAAAGTTGTAGATTTACAATTTTTTGTGCTTTGGTTTCAATTATACAATGATCAGATACCCATCCCTCCACCAGTGCCCATTTTCCACCACCATGGATAATATCCCTCCCACCCCCATCCCCCCATCCCCCCGTTTCTGTGGCAGGGCAATCCCCTGTGTTCTCTCTCTCCTTTTGGGTGTTGTGGTCTCTGCATGCTTTTAAACATCAACATATACTAGTAAAATTCTTTCTTTGGGATAGGATATTTCAGGCCTTATGTTTAAATAGCCGGAGTCTATTAAGAAGAGAGAAAATTCAGGACAGAACAGGAGACACAAAAATATTTTCAAATGGAAGACAAAGGTATGGAAGCAAAGGATTCTAAAACATTAAAATAATGTTTGCAACTGGCCCGGCCTAAAGAAACAAAGAGCTCTAAAGTCTGCTTAAACATGAAAAGCTAATGCTCACAAAGAATCCTCAGTAACGTCATTATGAAGTTTTATTTACTTACAAAACTCAGTAAGCTCTGTGGCCTGGACCGTTAGTGAAACACACGAGCAAAACCCATATAGGGACATGGTATTTAGGGCATTATTTATGCAGGAGCAAAGCTGCCAGAATGGTTCTTCAGTTAGCCTTCAAAGATGAATATTAATTCTTAAGTGGTTGCCTTTGGAAAATGCACAGCTCCCTACAGGCCCAGAGCTTTCAAAGAACACTTTGATTTACGTTGAATGTTGTGGTCACATTTAGTAAATTATTTAAGAGGTGGCACTCAATGCACCTAAACACATGCACTCTCCGCATGCAAATTGGTGATCCTACCGGCAGGTAAATAAGACTGCGCCATATAACAGAAACCACATGTTTTCCTAACACTTAACGAATCTACAACTGCACTTGAAATTTTAAAGTTTGAAATTTCTAGCCATCATTTTTGGCAGTCACATACGAACTAGTTTAGACCCCCTTGAAACATTGGCCCTTTCAACAAGGGAAGTGAGAGCCTAGGTAATTGATGGGTTAAAAAAAAAATAGGTGAGAGTTCAGTAGTCAGTTGAAGGAATTTCTAGAAGGATCTTTAATTGTCAGTCAAACCACTTACTGGATTTCCTGTGATGATGATAGTTTTATTTTTGTTCACAAACTTATTAGTTTTATTAGTGACTCAGAAGAGAAATAGCAAGAGATAAGAACTGAATGAGCTCAGAGAATACTGGAAAGACAATGTTCTGCATTTTAAGAAGAGGACAGTTCTGTAGACTTTAGAGAACAGAGTTCAGTCACATTGTGGCTGTTTCCAAGAGGGAAACTGCAGAAGGAAGGGATGAAGAATAGGGGAATTTGGAAAAAACAAGAAACATTAGAAATAGTGAACTCCTTTCTACTTTTTTTAGTCTTTGTACTAAAATTAATTTTTACTAAGTTAGTATTTAATTTGACCTCTTAAAAACTTTTGAGAATTCCAATTCTCTTAAAAAGGTACTATACAGTTACAGACATACTAGGATATACATGCAATGAATAGAAAGGAATAGTTTCAGTCTGCTTTGTATTTTAGATTGATAATCTTAGAAATTGAGAACAAACAATAAAGGGGGAAATATGCACTAATATTTTATATTAGTACCCCAAAGCATGTCTTACAGTTGCTTTTTAAATCCCGATTCATCAGTTAAACTCTTGGAACAATTAGATAAGATATGTGTGAGATTATATTATAGGGAAATCAGAAAAGTGACCCTACAATTTTTAACTAATCAGCTACATTTAGCCTTTAACAGAATTGCTTCCCATTAGCCAAAGTGCTGGATTGTGACAAGATTCTTGCAGTCTTTAACTCTGGTTTATATTTTATCCACCTACCTTGCTGTGTCTATTCCGAGAGCAGTCATGGTCTGGCGGCCACCTCTCTGGACTATTTTACTTGCTGCCACAAGCACATCTTCTGTAGATGAGTATTTATTGAGGTTAAATTCATGTGTTACATTTTCTCCGTACTGTACTATTCCAACCTGAAATATAAAGCCACTGTGAGTTACCCTCTCTATTTCACTCTTCTTCAGTTTAAGCAGGTAGCTGAGTTGTAACACATTTGCAGCTTTTCAGACAAGTTTAAGAATCTGTTGGTGCACAAAGCTTTCTGGTTTGACAGCAATAATTGTTCCTATTCTGTATGTATTACTCACCTAAAGAACAAAAATGAAAATCTAGGCATTAAACTTACCAAACTAATAGCATATTTCTTCAGTGGTATCTTTTCCAGGGCATGGGGAAGGGGCTCACACCTTGTGGTTCTCAGAACTTACTCCCGGATTTGTGCTCAGGGATCACTCCTGGTGATGCTTGGGGGACTATATGCAGTGCCAGTGCTCAAAGAGTCTGGAGTAAGCTCTGAGGGAAGACTGGAGCAAGACGGGCTGCCAAGACAGGCAGAGGCGATGCAGGGAAGGGCACGCATGAGCACGTAGCCAGGATGCAGTGTCATTTCCCTCAGATTGGTCTCTGCCCAGGATCCTCTTCTCTGTCTCCCTTTTGTGTTACATTTCTACTTTCGTTACCTCTTTCCCATCACTTCTAATCTAATTTTGATTAGATAATACAGGCAATTACCTGCAGAACCATTGTAAAGTAGAATGACAAAGAAAGACAAGCATCCCCAGATTTGATTTTCCTTACTCCACTGCACTCCATAAGAGATGCCTATCTTCCTTATCCTTCTGGCTATACCCTATGGTTGATGCAAACCAGTAACTTTCTGTGTAATCTCCCCTTCACCCACCCACTGATGCACTCAATCCCAATGAGAGAATAAGAGAGTTCTTCCCCCAGATAAATAAATTTTTGAGCTGGGATTACTGAGCGCTTCATTTTTTTGGATTAGGGTATGAAATTGGAGATGACGCTGTCTTTGTTCCAAGGCAACTGCCTAATGTTCACTCTAGTAAATTAACCTCTGGGCCTTGTGTTAGAACCAATCCTTTCTCCCAGTCTGATTCTGTTTCCAAGTGGCAGAAAGGATTGGCAGCAGAAGTCTTTCGCTTCCCCTGCTATGGGCTCTGCTAGGGATCCTTAGGCTTGGCCCGGAAGATAGCTTCATAGCTTAAGCTCTTGCTTTTAAGTGCATGGCCAAAATTTCAAACCCTGTTGTTGCTGCCTACAATTGGCCAAGGGTTCCTGACTCTCCTGGTGCACGGGAATCCTGCTGAGAAGGGGTCTTGAAGATGGCTCCATGGTCTAAAATGTGCCAAAGGCAAGTGTGAGCCTCTGAGCACAACCTCCACTGCTGCACATGTGCCAAGGAGATTCTGAAAGCCCCACAATCTGGGCTCTCAGGGAAAGGGAAAACCAAATGAGAGAGAGAGAGAGAGAGAGAGAGAGAGAGAGAGAGTGCCTGTGGAAGGGTGGCAGGGGTGGCTGGAGGGAAACTGGGAACATTGGTGGTGGGAAATTTACACTGGTGAAGGAATGGGCTGGAACATTTTATGAATGAAACTGAATCATGAACAACTTTGTAACTGTTACTCAATTAAAAGGGGAAGGGGGGGAATTGTATTTAAAGAGAACAAAAAATTTTAAAAAAACATTTAAATGATCTTAAAAATTGTTAGTGGGCACATTGCTATTGTAATTATAAGATTCTTATGTGACTAGAATGGGATAAACAAATAAAAATTAAGAAAAAAGAGAATATATGATAGAATAAAATAAGATGCCTCATAAGTCTGCTCACTCATGCTCATCTTAGCTCGATTCTAATATGGAGATATCTTTTTGTCTAGTATACTTTGGCACTAGTTCCAAACTGAGGTATATAGAAAGCCAAATACACACACACACACACACAAGATGGATGAAGACATATCAATGACTATGAAATTTTGACTTTGTAATTCATTATTACAAACTGTTAATATTTATTATACTCTGTATAGACTTTTCAAATTCTTCCCCAATTCTTTCTCTGTAGTTTTAAATTAGTAATCTAGGGAGACACTAAACAATTATTGAAGAAAACCATGAAGGCTGATATTATCTTTGTATATACAAATGTTCAGTATAAATAAAAGTAAAAATGATTTTTTACTTTAGCTAATTGTTATGCCTAAATCTATACACCACAGTGAATAAATACTGCAGTAGAAGTTAAGTGGTCATCCATTCAGGACGTCTTAATAGTTAGTTTTCCTCCCCCTGTCCCTGTGTTTCATTTGATTAAACATGAATCTAAACAATTTATACCCGTGCCATTATTCTTGGAAAGTTAACTATTTGAATAATCTATTGATCACCTTAGATTCTCATTTGGAAAATTTATTGCACTTCTGGGTCTTTGCTTTCTTTAGCTTTTTCAGGGTCAATAATCTTATCTTCCACATCACCAGTATCATGTATTCCCAAGGCCTTATCTTTGGCTTTCTTAGCTGGACAACTTCAGCTTTAAGAGTTCTCCTCTATGACCATTAACTCTGGCTTATTTACCTGGTTTAGCTAATTTCATCAATCCTTTACCACATCAAGACTTCCATTTTTTGTTGTTGTTGTTCCTAGCCCAGATTCCATAGTTCATCACCTTAATCATTTACTTGCAAACCTTTAACTATGTTAACCTTCTTTTTCCCCTTCATTAACTCACTTGGCTAACTTCCAAATATGGTTAAGTCCAAATATTTCCTTTGTGTGTGCTGCTTTGAAAGTTGCTCCCAAAGTCACTAAAAAATCACACCATCTCCACACTGGTCTCACTGCAAAGTATGGCCATGAATCTCAAATGTGGTTGCACATACCACTGTTCAGTAGTCTCAATATTTTTTTTAAACTAATGAGTACACTTTTCTCCCATTTAATGAGCTGAATCAAATTCTAGTCATAAGCTGTTAATTCCTCAGAATAAAAAAGGGTATCACACTTATACATGGAGAGACATTTACACGAGCAAAGCTGCTTTAGGCCCTGAACTTTACATGTGTTAAAAATATACATAATTTATAGAACCTCCTTGGAACTAATGGGTTATCTTCATACCAGGAATGGCCAGAAATATGTCACTTGAGCAAGACAGAGATCACCAATCAGTGCTTTGCTTTATACATCTCTCTCTCTCTCTCTCTCTCTCTCTCTCTCTCTCACTCCTTCTTTCTTCCTCTGACTCTCCCTACTTACCTACTAACATATATCTCACTTCTATATACTTGTTCTTTGTAAATTTTCAGATATGAGATCATTTATGACTCGTTTCCTCAACCCTTTCAGCTTACTTTAAACAACTCTACCTCAGGTTTTCTTCATATCAACCATTTAAAGCTACCTTGCACTCTTTTCTAAGAGTCAGAAGGCCCTGGAAATCCCTCATTTTTTCACCCACTATTCTGTTCCATTGGTAATTCCTGACTATAAGCAATGAAAGGCCAAACCTTGATTCAAGTTGGAGCCTCCTTTCAGGTCTGGCTGACATTTAGACTTACAAAATCACAGCTTTATTGCCTCTGTTTTGCACCTTCAAATATTTCCCAATTTTCTCTGCCACTTAGACTCCTCTTCTAGGGGGTTTACTTTTGGGAAAATGAATTTAAGACACAAGACAGCAATTAACCTATGGTTTCTGTATTTGCAACTTTAACCTGGGGAAAGACACTGCTGCCTTGATACTGGAGCTTGGCAAAGATGATGTTCTCACTGCAATCCCTTGCCTGCCTCACATTTCCAGTCTCATCAAATCCTTCTATACATCAAAGGCAGGTGAACTGTCTTGAACTTCTGCTTCTGTCATCTTACCTCCATGTTTAAAAGCGTCCAACTATATCAAAGTCTTTTGAGTCTTTATTTTTAAATAAAATAGAATACAGAGAAAAATTCCAGTTACTCTTTGAAATACTGGGTCCATTGGATAAAAATTCTGTTCCCCACTCTCCTCAGTCTCGTCATGCCTTTTCCACTTACCCTCATCTTAAAGACTCCAGGTAGCAGGAGTTATATCCCTAACACATGCCCTTTCCTACTTTCCCAAGTAAGCTCAGCTCGGCCCATCAAATCCATGAGATTCAATTCTTTACACTTCCTCTGAGAAAGTTTCCCCACTTCATCACCCACATAGCTTGTACCATCTTTCCCTTCTCTGAGTGCTGAAGCAAATGCGCCTGTGTGACTCCTCTGTGTGATGCATTCTTCCCAGCTGCTCTGCATGCGTGCTTTATCTCTCCAACTAAAGTATATGTTTTAAAGGGGCAAACAGGGATAAGAGAGTGAACTCAGTCATAACTCTTGGTATTCTCTTATCCCTAAGCACTGTTTTGCTATGATCACAGTTGACCCTCAAACATTCTTAGTAGATGACTACATTTCACATAAGCAAGTAGAAAGCTGAGATAGCAGGGAAACAATGATAAGCTGAAAAAGAGCAACACGAAGTGTGGGAAAGGAGACACTAGGCATAGGAAACCGAAATATCAGGGAAATGACAGTCAGTGAGGCCTCTGGCTGACACAGGGACACTCCTTCCCTTAGAAAAGGAAAATAAGCTGCCATTGGTCCACTTTCATTTCAGGAAGACAGCCAAATCATGAAACACCTGACTGACTTGGAATGGGACTCAACTGAATGAAAATAGTATCAGCTTGGAATATATTCTGAGGCAGGTGAGACATTTATACTAGCATAGCTTGTGAATATGCGTATGCAGTGGAATCAAAGAAATGGGATACTTCAGTAACAATAAAAACTGTGAACCAAATGATAATATATGGGGTGAAAGGTAAGATAAGCAAAAAAATCACATGCAAATTTACTTTCTCATAATGAAAGACTTTAAGAGGAAAAGCAGATTGGCTCCAGAATGGGGTACTTGGGTAAAGACATAGGGAGTAAGTTACTGAAATGAAGAATGAGGAGGCCAAGTGGTCTTGAACTTAAAAAATATGCCAAACATGATAATTAAAGTAATTTAAATGATTTTAAAATTTGAGAAAAAGAATAAAATCAAACAAATACTCATCACATTTATTTGAGATAGCAAATT